TACTCAAAGAGATGCTTAACCTCGATGAAGAACCGGATATCGAGCGTGCTCATCGAGTCGGCAGAAGAGTAAATGCTACAACTGGCTCCGTAAGACGTCCAAGGACCATACGATTGAAAGCAAAAAGAAAAGATCATCAGAAGTGCCAGGAGAATCAAGCCCCTTGGAATTTTTGTTAATGAAGACCTGGCACAAGAAAACGTTGACAAGAGGGAAGAGCAGCGTCCTAAGTTTGAAGAAGCGAGAAGAAACGGGAAAATAGCCTATTTCATTTTAGACAGGCTGGTTATTAAAGAGAGAATTGACCGTCCCAGTTAAGATTCCCAAAACCTGGAGAACCGGCCAAATATCAAACGAGCCGTCGTGCTCGGGTGGGGCTGACCGATTTTCCAAATTAGAATTAACAAAAGAAGCCGCTTTCGGAGATGTGACAACTTTGTGTCCTTGTTCACCACTAATAGCTGCTGAAAGTATTCTTGTGGAATTCGTGCATCATTGCAGTGCACATCGAACCATGAATTTGCTGGTCGCGGAATAGTTCACGCGTATGGAGCGACACGCGTTCTACGCAAACGTCTTCTTCTCCTTCTAATACAGGCAACGTTCAGAACTGTCATGTATTCGTTAACACGAAAGGCAAACATTCGCTGCTGCTGGAAGCTAATGACCAGGAACCGCGAAACGGCAATTAGGTCTCGAGTGGGTCCATGTTTAAAGTTGAACAGTTCGCGGGAAATCTGAAATCCGATCGATTGATCAGATCGATGATGGTCTTTTGTAATGCGACCCAACCGTATTCGTTTAATTTGTTGCATTTCCGTTTGCGGTCTGAAACTTTTGGAATTTTTGTGCCGGTCAAATTTTGGTTTTCGCTGAAGTGCGACCAGGCCTTATTGTTCCTGGTAGGCATTGTGGGAGAGCATTTTCTTTGACCTCTTTTGAAACTTAAAGTTCTTCATTGTAACTAAATGAGGGTTTTAGGTTGTTTGATTTCCTTCAAAGTGCCCCCTGGATTTGAATAACTAAAAGCGATTTTCTTTTTTCCGTGAATGTGGTAGTTTCCTGCTGGGCCGAGCTCGTTAGTGTTGTTTGCAGGATGTGGAATTCTCATGGATAAAGATTTGCAGATCCAAATTTTGAAGAATAGATTGTAGCTTTAACAGAAGTTACATGAAATCTGGAGAACTGCGTTGTAACTTATTCAAGATTGCTCTTTAAGCAATGATTTTCAAACTCCAACTTGCTTTTTTAAAGGTAATGTAAGTCTGGACTAGCGTGCGTAGTTCCTCCCGTGTTAATAACTTTTTCGTAAGCTTAACAGTCTTGCGACTGTTCTGTTATGGCCACTTTGTGGTCAGGCCAGACCATTGTTTCGGTTCTCCACGCGAACTTCATGACGCTTGGAATATGAGGGAAATCCTTTATTGAATCGCCCAACGCTTTTTGGAAAACTTCTTCAGTCAATCCGCCAGGAGACGCCATGTTAAAGATTAGAAGACCTGTTTACGAGCGATTAATTTAAATCGCGTGCTACGTGCCGACCAAAAAGGCGATGTCAATCAAACCTGTCAACAGTTAGTGTTCTCGCCAACAGGAGCTTGCATCAGCAGGTGCCGCGGAACGGCGTTCTCAAAGGTTTGTCTACAGGCTCTTCCCCTTTCCCTCTCCTCTCCTCGCTATTTTTTCATCCTTTCTTCAAATAGAGAGTCTGTTCACAGGCTACCACATTGGACGTTGAGTGGGTTTGATTTAACATTTTCAACTTCCACATAATGTGTTCTGTTTTCAAGATAGCTTTTTGAACCATAGGAGAGGAACAAAGCGGATTCCATTATCTGTTTAATTTCTGTAGTAGTATCTGATGTTTGACAGTATCAAAGGCTTCCGCTAGGTCGAGAAAGATACTGCATACAGTTTCATTACGGTCAATTTTTATTTTTAAGATTGTCGGTGACTGAAAGAATTGCTTGCTGGGTAGAATAATTTATTTTTCTGAAGGTAAATTGCTGCTTAAATAGAATGTTTTCCTTTACAAGGAAATTATTTAGCTGATTGTAAACCAGTCTTTAAAAGATTTTAGCAAATAAAGTACACCAACAAGAGGGTAATTACCAGGGTCTGTCACTGCAGCAGTCTTAAAAGATAGGGTAACCTTGGATCGAGATTTGAAAACATCAGGGACAATACCTGATTCAACTGATTCATTAAACAAGTTTATGAGGGGAATGGAAAGTGGATTGCTGGCAATCGAAATTATTAAAATAGTCCTGGATATCCGTGTTAGCTTTGTGCCTATCAAGATCAGAAAGCGCTTATTCTATCTGCACGGAATTCAACCGGGAGAGAAAAAAAAACAGAACTTTATTGGGAGGAAAGTGTCAGGTTTTACTCTTGAGGAAGAGATCTTCTGTTAAATGTTTATTGGAAGTGTACGTGTGCTTTCGGATTTTCAAAACTGAATTGTTTATTTGGTTTTTCGTCGGGGAAAGTGTCGCATCGCAATGGGATTCATCGATGGCTCCGTTTGTGACAGTCGTGCAGGCTCTTACGGTGGACTACAGGAAAAATCTTTCAGTGAACATTTGAAATTTTTAACTATTCTTGTTTTCCACTGCCGCCACAAAATGAAGTATAGCTGCTATCAAGATTCTTCTTTTATTCGAAGCTGGTTTGTTTGGTTGGTTTGGTTTGAGGAGTTCTTCGCCACGGAATAGACGTTGTCGTGGTTTCCAAAGCCATCTTGACGAGTATGAAAACCTCCATGAGAAATTACAGTGCCGGTTTGTTTGAGAATCGAATTTCGAATAAGTTCCCGTGAAACAGCTGTTCTGAAAAAAAATCTGAATTGTAAATTAAAGCTACACACTAAAGTATTATACCAACAAGGTTTTGGGACCCTATCTGTCCTTAAATTTCCCCAGACGCTTGTGTTATGTAAATGAAACCTCTCTTGCTTCTGAAACGTTAAGTTACTAAGCAGGTCAAATACGTGTTCGAGTTAAACCAGGATTTCGTTTGTCTCCTATGAAAAGCTAAGGCTAGGAAACAAAGGAAATTCATATTGCATGAATATAAATACTGGTTTAACTGTACTTCTTTTTACTATTTTCCTGTTAAATTAGCACTTCCTTGTTTTCTGGTTCCTTTTTTTTTTAACCATTGTTTCTTTTTCTTGTAGGAAACTCTGACCGGTTTCAAGTGGATGGGTAACCTCGCAAGTGAACTTATGGCTCAAGGAAAGACAGTCCTTTTTTCATTTGAAGAAGCAATAGGTGCTTTAATTTATCTGTAAATGACTAACTTGTTATAATTACACAGTGTTTCATTGTTGACTCTTTTACGTCGAGATTACTAAAAAGCTTTTCTCTAGTGTTTATAATAATTAGATTAGGTAGACAAGTTATTTATAGCAGCTGTGGTTTTCGTAGTCTTTACTTCTGTATGTATGTATGTATGTATGTATGTATGAATGTAGTCTGTATGCCCGCCAATGGAGGTATACTTTTTTGTTGATTTTTTAACCTCACTTACAAAAAAATCTGTTTTAAAGGCTTCATGTATGGTACTAATGTACTTGACAAAGATGGGATTAGTGCTGCAGTGGTCATGGCAGAGATGGCTGCATATCTCAGTCGTCAAGGAATTACCTTAACAGAACAACTAAATAACTTATACAAGAGGTATGCATCTCCAGTCTAACTCTCGTATCGTATTTTGTACTTGAAAAAAACTTTGTTATTGAAAATTTTCTCAAATTTTGCGAGCCTGCTAAGAAATCATGCCTACAAAGGAAAACAACTTTTTTTCTGTTCTCCATGGGATAAAAACCAAAGTGCCCTAAATCTTCACGCTCACTGATTAAGCTAAAGTGAGCTCTCTGTTCTAAAACCATTTTCCACGTTAAGTAGCTCAGAGAGACACTGATTGTGTCTTAGTACAATAAGAAGCAAGTAATAGATGACCATCGTATCGAGGTTTCAATATCAGTAAAAGATGTATCAGCTTGTGGTTGTTGTGTAACATTAAATTCAGCAGTTGTGAAGTTTGACGTCTGATATGGGCTTAAGAATAGGTTAAAGCGAATAGTTATTCACCTCCACTTCGGTAAATAATTCAGTGAGAGTAACATTGCCTTGCTTCAAATTAAAGACAAATACGTTAGAAACTAACTATGGTTAGTTATAATCAGGTGTGAATCAATGAATACGTTTGATTTTTAGGTACGGCATCCATGTGTCCAACAATTCTTATTATCTCTGTTATTGTCCATCGACAATAAAGAAAATATTTGAACGCATCAGGACTCTGGAGAATGGTCAGGTCAGTGAATACAATGTAAACCTATCCTTCCCTGTCATAATTTCACGCTTTTTAAAGTTGCTTTCTCTTTATGAAAACAAAACACTGACAAAATCTGAGGTGAACAGCAAGTACTGTCATAAGTTTGGGTAGATAATTAGAGTCTGTTACCTAACAACTTAATTGCCTTGCAGAAGTTGTTTTTAATGTTATTTTTGGCCATTGGATCAATAGTGAGCGAAATAAGGCTACAGGGGCCACAGGCCGCCCAGGCGTAGTGTTTGTCAATAACATGGAAAAAATGGGATGAGTCGTCGAAACTCCCTTGAACTAAAATAGTCCAAAAGTCAAAATATCACAAAACAAAGCGCACAATCAGGGACAAAAGTAGTTGACACACTTGTTTAGAACGGGTGCTTTTATCAAACATTTACTTCATTTATTATTTCATTCCTTTTAAACGCCATAAATCCCCTCACCCCCTGAATCAATGTTGTCTGAAGTAAAAGAAAGAGTTGAGGGTCCAAAATACAACATTGATTTTGGGGGCGAGGGGTGGAGGTAGACAGGGGAAGGGGATAGGTGAGTCCAGTATTCAAAAAGGGGCCATTTTGCGGAAGTGTCTCAACACTTTTGTCCCTCATTGTCTGAATGCAAAATTGTACTACTGCACACAAGTTGAGCTCTGTATGACAATGATTTTAACTGAAATTAAAGCAATCAATGACATAATTATGTTATTGGTGGTGGGGTTGACATTGACTTCTTCACGACCGAAATATAGGGCCAATTCGAATTACGTGATGACGTAATAAAAGGGCTGCGGTATCCAGAATTAACGGCAATATAGTTTACAAGCTAAAAACTGAGGCTGAAACTCGCGCACATGTACAACTTTTGGTGAATTTCAAGAGTATGCGTACTGAAAATATTTTTAATAAAGTGAATATTCCTCTTTCTTTACTTTATCCGATTGATAAGACGCAAACAATCAGGGGTAGCGTAAGGATTGACACGTATTGGGGATAGTCACTGGCCGGCCACGGAAATATGGAGCGTTAGTGAGGATCGGCCATCACTGCGTTCAATATCGGAACTACGGAAAAGTGAAGGTAAATTCATGGTCAATTTAATAAAAAACTAAGGACAGCGTAACAAATATTACAAGTGTACGCGAAAACAATTACTTTCAATCCCACCTGGTGACACCCTCTGTGACATGATAACGCAACGCAAATAGCGTGACATGAGCGCATATGTCTGAGTATTTGGACTGCATTTCTCAAGCGAAACCCTCTGTTTTTCTCTATTGTCGGCAGGAAAAATGAAAACAGAGCTTTAAAACGTGAACTGGTATCTGACTCTCAAAGAAAACGACAGCTCAAACTGAGGAAAACACTGCTTCCTTCGTGATACAACGGTTAACCACGTTTCGGCAAACGGAAAGTAATATTAGTCTGTTATGACCTCTTAATGTCGATATGTTTTCCCGTGGTTAACCGTTAAAACTCCTTATTTGCACCACATCGCTGCAATGTTGCTCGCCAAGAATAAGTATTGCAAAGCACTTTCTACATAGCGAGATCTTCTTTTGCCTTTTGTGAGGAATTAGGGCATGAAAACGGAAAATTTTCCAGCTCACGGCCGTCATCGATCACGTGCCAATCCCGCTCTCCTTGTCATCAAGTGAACTTCTGGGCCACAGTAATTGTTTTTTTGGTGAGATACAGACTGGTCTGTCTATCTTGAAAACAATTTCTTTAGCATTATGTGATTTAGGAGCTGGGAAATGAACTAGAATAAATGAATAAATGGCAGGCGGTCATCTAAAATCATTACAAAAGTACATTCCTAACCTGTTCTACGCCTACCTACGCTTAAGGTTTGGATCTGTTAGGTTTGAAAAGGTCTCAAAAAAAAGAAAAACACTTATAGGGCATAGCAGAAACGGCTGGCCCATAATTTATGAGGTTCATATCCTGTATATTGCTCACGTCCTTTCACCAATGGCACAAGTCAGTGTCGAAAATAATGCATGTCCGCTCCGTTACTCTCAGTATTTCATTATCTTAAGTTGACTATTCATGCACACAAGAACAATTTTCATTGTACCTTGGTGTTTCCATCGTTTTTCCACTAGTGTTAATACTTGTGAAAACATTACATCCACAGCAACGGCAGTGATCACAACACAAATGATTTCCTCTCGACCCGACAGGGTATCAGGAACGCGCGCGGGAGTACAAGATTAAGTAATGACATACGCGTAGTACATTTTACTGTACGTGTACTACAAATCAGGACGAAAATTTACAAATGGTTGTTTGTACACAAACAATTTGGCCCATAGAGTAGCGTCATGGCACAACAATTCAGCAGCGTCAAAAATCTAGCCGGAAAACATAGATACATATTTCAGACAATCAGGGACAAAAGTAGTTGACACACTTGTTTAGAACGGGTACTTTTATCAAACATTTACTTCATTTATTATTTCATTCCTTTTAAACGCCATAAATCCCCTCACCCCCTGAATCAATGTTGTCTGAAGTAAAAGAAAGAGTTGAGGGTCCAAAATACAATGTTGTCTGAAGTAAAAGAAAGAGTTAAGGGTCCAAAATACAACATTGATTTTGGGGGCGAGGGGTGGAGGTAGACAGGGGAAGGGGATAGGTGAGTCCAGTATTCAAAAAGGGGCCATTTTGCGGAAGTGTCTCAACACTTTTGTCCCTCATTGGCAGATACCTTCAACTGAACGTCTCCTTGTCTTTCCTGGCCGGTTATCGTAGGTAATCGTAGGTACTATCCACTAAAGAAGAATTAAAGGCTGGCTACAAAGAAAACTGACCATCTCCACGCGCCTCCACGCGAACCGCTACGAATTTGAGAGTAATCGACGAATCCGCTCCAAATTGCCATCGGCTAATATGCAGGTAACGTGTGCTCCAGCTTCTTGCTCGCTGGCTCTATAAAACCCATCGCAACTGCACGATAATCGCTCGCTCATCAACAAACACTGTTGACCTTTCCGCTCTGCCATGACTGCAAACGGGCAGGATTAATACGGCCGATCAATACGCGACGTGAATATTCAAGCTTAGCGACCGCGTCCGCGCGACAATGCAGCACTTGCTATGGAAGGGGTGATACTATTGCTTCTAGGTCAGTCAACGCTGAGGGAGGCACCGCTACGTTAGTTTTGACCAGAAAAACAAAAGGCGATAGCGCGACCGTCCGTAAACAGTTTTCAACAGGGCGGCCCTAGTTTTCAAGTCCGAATTCTTCTAACGTTCGCTGTTAGAACTGCTGTCACATTGTTCGACAAGCCGCTTGCTTACATTTCCATCCTACGCGATATCTGTCGCATTTGCCTGCTGGAATTTTTTATTGCATGCCGCTAGGGAAAATAATAACGCAGCGAAATTTTTGGTCTTTGAAGCAAAGTAATTCGGAAGGCTTGATTGGCCCACCATATTTTTTTTAGCTTTAAAAAGAGACCAAATAGAAGTCTGTACGTTGAATGGTCGCGGACTTCAATATGATTTTTCGAGCATTTCAAGTTTGCTTATATGACCACTAAATTTTACGCAAAATGACTTCTCCGCAACTTCGGACAAAAACACGAACTTCAATATCTCGAGAATATGATGCGTTACGTCGGGATTTCAATTCTTTTATGCCGTAGAACAGTTTAGTTCACTATTTTCAAAAGACAAATTAAAACAAGGGGCGCACATACACAACACTCATGATGCGCCTTCCCCGCGCATGTCGTGGGAGAACTGCCATACGGTTCCCAGACAACAGCTCCCACATGTGTTGTGTGGAGCTGACAGTTAAAGGACTCGCCTCGGCCGAAAAGGGTCTGTTGAACACGGGTTTTCGCCGGTCATAGATCGACGGCTATGCCATGCTGGTGACCCTCAGTAAGGGCGAAACAGCTGTCCGTGGCTGCGACAGTCCGCGCAATTAGCTATTCATGCTCGTTTGCCCTTGGCGATAGCTATAACTAGTATATATAGTTTGCTCATGCTAAATATAAAATCGTGTGATGCTAAGCGGAGAAGGCAACGAGATAGGGGCACCCAACGACGGTTTCCTCATAATTATACATTGAAAACACTTTTTTAGCTATTCATAAATTACTTTTAGCTCTATAGAAATGCATTCTAAGCGGAACTATAAAATTTGGATCCGTTCGGCCATTCTAGGGGAACTGGAGTCTTTTCGAAATTACGAGGAATTCAGAATCATTTTCAAAATTTTAGATGCAATTTAACGTATTACGAAGGAGATAATTTTTCTGATTCTTTCTTTCATCACATTTTTGTATCCGAAAATTTTAGGTTTCCTTTTTGTCTACGAAAAATAGCCTAACCCGGGGAGTGAAATGTGAAAAATTAAACTTCAGAAAATCGTAGGGAACTTGTTAGCATGATTAGATGAGCTTCGAAAAATGACATGAATGGAATGGTCATCTAGAAATTTTTAAGCCAACTAAAGGGAAATTCTAGGCAAATTGCCTCTCCGAACAGATACAGTAAAACGCCGCGAAGAAGAACCTAGATTTTTTGAAGTTTGGCAAAATAGATTCTTATAGTTTGGAGTACTTATTGGAAGTTTAAGCTAAATAGCTTCTTAATTAGGTTCTTAATTTTTATGAAGGATACTGTTGTTGATTACAAGAAATTGCTGTAAATGGTATTTGTCCCGGCTTCATAATAGGCATTTATTTACCAAAAATCTAACAAAACTTGGTGAACAGCTAGAAAATTTGCAGTTTTCAACAATGGTCGTATGCATTATACATTTATAATATATATTATATGTAGGAAGCTCTGAATAACTAACTAAATAAATAAATAAACTGTATATAAATTTCCCATATTAAAGCAAGACTTTTGGTCAAAATGTTCATGAAAATGTAGTCTAACCCCACATATAGGAACCTGTTGATTTTTCCTTGGCTAAACTGGTTCTTATATTTTGGAGTATTAAAATGCCAAATTTCTGTCAGCGGGTTCTTAAATCCTAGGTTCTTTGCGGCGTTTTACTGTATTTTACAGAAAACAGTCGTTGGGTGCCCTTGACGAGAACTGTGAAAAACAACAAAAAATCTAATTGCAACACACTTTTTTGTACATTTCCTTGCCGTTATTTTGCATGACTTCAACGTGAAACGTCCAGAAACTTCATGGTTTTCACGTTCTATGGAAGAAATGTGGTACATGTTCTTGTTCACTTTTTCCACTGCCGCTCATTTTTTTTAGCTCCGCTATAAAATTCGTATCTGTTCGGTGATCCTAGGGCAAATTTAGTCTTTTTGAAAATTACAAGGGCTTCAGTATTATTTTCCCGAATGATTGACCTAGAAGTAATAGTACCATCCCTCCCATAGCAAGTGCTGTATTGTCGCGCGGACGCGGTCGCTAAGCTTGAATGTTCACGTCGCGTATTAATCCTGCCCGTTTGCAGTCATGGCGGTGGGTTAAGGTCAACAGTGTTTGTTGATGGGCGAGCGATTATCGTGCAGTTGCGATGGGTTTTGTGGAGCCAGCGAGCAAGAAGCTGGAGCACACTTTGCCTGCAGATTAGCCGATGGCAACTGGGAACGGATTCGTCTATTATTCTTAAATTTATAGCGGTTCGCGTGGAGGCGCGTGGAGATGGTCCGTTGTCTTTGTAGCCAGCCTTTAATTCTTCTTTAGTGGACAGTGCCTACGATTGCAAAACTCGACAAAATGCCACTTTAACCGGCCAGGAAAGACAAGGAGACGTTCAGTTAAAGGTATCTGCGCTTTGTTTTGTTATATTTTGACTTTTGAACTATTTTAGTTCATGTGAGTTTCGACGACTCATCCCATTTTGTCCATGTTATTTACACACACTACGTCTGGGCCGCCTGTGCAGGGGCCGGCAGCCTTTTTCTAACACAGTCGTTCTATTATATGCAAATTAAGTGTAATTATTCTGTGGGCCTATAGCTCAAAGTGGTATCTCAGCGGCATCCTTTCCCTCTGACACTACCACAGACACGCAGGATTATATTTAAACTTGGATTGTAAAAATAATAGATAAATATATACATATGTAATATATATTTTACGAAAAGTATGACTGAAATCTGCTATTAAAGTAACGAAATTTTCTAACAGCCTTTTCTTGGTTTGTGGTTTGGCAACGGTTATTTAAACTGGCTCAATTGGTCGATTGTAGGCAAGTTTTCCGTGGAAGGTAATTTTCAGGAAGCACTTCAAAGCTTAAAAAGAAAAGGAAAAAATTTCGTCGGGTGCTTACCTCCTCTACAAACCGTGATATTGGAAAGTTTCATGTTGTAGTCGTGCCGTGACGGCGAGAAAATGTACAAATAAGCGCGATGCACGAGTAGAGTTGTTGTATTGGCTAAATTAAAACTATGACTATTTTGACGCGACCGTTGCCGCCGCCGTCATGGTTACCTAAATTCCCTACTAGAAGTGGAGGAGAGAGTTCAACAAAGCATCCGCCAAAGAATAAGCCACAGCACCAAGAAAAACCCTGTGTATGTAATGTATGGAATAAAGAGGGAAGATGTTTCGAGGGGAACTAAGTGGGCACTATTAATTTTAAAAGACGCCCTGGTTGCGTAAACTCCCTAATTGGTATCAGGCCCCAAGGAGATCACCTTGACGTTATGTTGACTGTATGTTTTATTTCAGTACCCTAGTTCATGTGGCTCGTATAAGATTTCTGGTATCAGAGATTTGACGGTCGGATTTGACAGTACCAAGCCTGATAACAAACCGGTAAGTGGCTAACAATAGGGCAGTGTAACCTTTGTGTTCTCTTTGTTACACTGATTAATCTCTGATAATTTTGATGCTGACGCGAGTTATGGGGATTTCATTTAAACGGCAGCCATTTTTACCGGAAGTGAAAGGATGAATCACCTGAAGTTGACTTGCTTTGCCCTACAGTAACTTTTAAGTTCAAAAATCTGTTCACAGAGAGGCTGTGTTATTGAAATAATGCAGATAGCATTTATAGAATTGGATAATTTTAGAGTTTAACGTTAACTCCGTTTTAGACCGGAAATGCTACACACTTTTGCCGGAAATTACCCGTGAAAGGAATGATGTAAAAAAAATAAACAGGTGACTACTTCAAAGCTATGAACGTTGAAATATTAAAAAAAATTGAAAATAGACATAGCTATTGTTTAAGAGCCGTAATTTATGTATCAAGGTTACTAAATTTTATGTCCGCATCGAAAGAATTAATCACCATGTCGAGCCTCTCTCACAACGTAGAGACCCGGTCCGGAGTGGCGGTTCTTGCTACTTTTAGAATTAAATTCTGTTAAGTTTACTTAACATAAACCAAAACTTGAAATACCCGATGTTAGGGGTGACCAGTGTCAAATCAGCCACGGTGACCTGAATTAAATTACCCATGATACAAAAGGTCTGATATTCACACTTGTTCCGCCATTCTTTTTTCCTTTGTGGGGTTAGACTTGCATGTTTTAAAACGCAAGAAATAGTCAGAAAGAAGTACCACAGGCAGATAGGAGTGAGCTAGAAAGATTAGGAAATGTAGTTCAGAGTTTAAACAACACGTTTGATTGTCACTATATGTCCTGTAAGTAATGTTATGCGGTAGATCCCCACTAATAATAATAAAAAATTGCTCGACCTAGCGGGGGATAAGTAAGTGGGTTTTGGTATTGCATTTTAAGTAACCTGAGAAACGTTTCCAAAATGGTATAGATGTTTTTCATTTTTTTAAATTGAGTCATTTTGGTGCAATTTCAACATCTAACACACTATAGTTTAAACAAATTTTTGTCAACATGGTAAGTTCACCCACTTCTACATTTTTCTTCTGAAAACAACCTGTCACTATAAATGTAATGGTCACTATAGGGAAGTTTCTGTTAGCTATTGGAAAATGGCCAGGAAAAATTAATAGTTTGGTAAAGGATATTGGTTTTAGTTCGAGTTAACCGATTGTGAGTCAAAATATACAATACAATCAAATCCAGTGAAATACGTATTTGCTCAAGTTAACCAAATTAACCATGTTTGAGGGGCTCGCACTGGGTACTTGTTGTGTTTTTATTTTAGTCAGCTCGATTTGTACCAGTCAAGGATTGCAATGTAAAAATATGTACTGAGTACCGTATATACATTATTGTACTTTATCTTGACATCAGAAACTTGAATTATTCCTAAAGAAGTGCTGAAAAGTGTCAGTAGCCCCGGAGATAACCAGGCAACACCCGTGCTATTGCTAAGACCGACTGGAATGAATGTGCCATTTGAATTATCAGCAAAACAAAGTAGAGCCTTAACGGCGTCCTGCTCTGTTGGTTAGGGCTGGAGACGTATGACATTTCAGACTAGCTACAAGGCCTTGGCTGGGAATATAGCAAATAGCAAAACTGAGGGATCTCGATTGCATGCCTGTACAGATAGATTTTAAGCCGCTAGATGAACGTGATGGATTAGAGAATACGTTCGTAAGATGCAAAAAAACACGCTGGCACAAAAGTTGCTGTGATCTCCTCAATTCTACGAAGTTGAAAGAGGGAGAAAAAAGACGTGCGCTTGAAAGTGAACAGCCGGTTGGTGGAAAGTATACACGTTCAGCTCCACCTACATCTCTCAACAATAGCGGTACATGCGTTTTTGAGCAGAGTATTCTACACGTAACAACCCTCTTCACAATGTTTGAACATTTGGTTTAGATACCCGTGTCAGGAAGTGTGCGACCGTATTGCAGGATAAAAAGGTTTTGGCGAAGTTAAGCGCGGGTGACCTGGTAGCTCTGGAGGCTAAATATTCCGCCCTAAATTTTCCTGTGAAAGATGAATAATTTACCAAAATACGATTTTTTTGCTTACGCATCTTCATAACCTGCCGAAATTCAAATTTATCGATTCAGAGAATGGAACTATGCTTTTTAAAAACTACTTCCGGTTTGAAAATTTCACTTCCGGTTTTAAATGATGGCTATTCTGAATGCCGGAAATATCTCGATAACCCAAAATATTTCGCGATGGCTCCATATCCACATTTAATAGGCACATGAAGTTATACTCTTCTGCCAGGTTTCATGCTTTTAACCAAAAGTCGCACAGTCCATGCAAGTATCCGCCCCACTGTCTTTTTGTTTTGCCTGTTTCGTATCAGGAATTTTTTTTTCAGTGGAGACCATGAAAAATACTATGAAAACATTTTTTCCTTGCGGGCGTCGCAGAGTAACCTTTCGTAAACGGTCTTTGTCATTGCCTTTCGTGTGCTAATATTTCTCCATTAAAACGACCCGCCAAAATTGCGAAACACATTGAACAACTGTCTTTTATAACTCAGATACATCTATAACAACTGACCCACGCCACGTAAACTTTGAAGTAAATTCAATCCAGAGAATGGCTTTTACATCTGCTAAAGGCAGAATCAGTTTGTAAACTGTTCGTCGGGAACTGATCGGCTTACACAATAGTATGGCACTGCGAGTTCTGCACCAGGAATAAGTATTAGGAGACGTGCCTTACCAGCGTGAAAGAAGTTGGAACGCTCTTTTCTAGTGTTAAGTGATTGACAGGCTCTTAGGAGGGCAAGACGATTTATTTTAAAGTACAGTCGAACCTCTTCAATACTGACACCGAAGGGACAGAGCCAAGTGTCCGTATTAGAGAGGTGTCCGTATAAAAGAGGTCACTACGAAGACGTCACTTTTGTGACTCCACTTACAGTTTTAACTGTTCAGTAGCTAAAACCAGGCTTATACTCGTCTTTAAACTACATTTAAATTTATAAACACTGAAAGACAGTCTTTCAGTAGCATATAACATTGTACATATAAGCTACAAAGCAAGCACAGTCGTAGGCATCTCATTGTTTTAAAACAAAACGTGCTACAGCGCAATGCTTCATGTTTTTATATTGTAACTTAAAGCACAATTCTGAAAGCGTCTTTCGCTATTTTGCAAGTGCAGTAAAAATAACTAGAATACAAAATGTAATAGAAAACATCATTATGCTGTCTGTAGTTATTCAAGCCTTTGAAAAGTCGTTTATGTTCCCATGTACACCTTTCGCAAGTCGTTGTTTGATATACAGCGACTGGGCTTTTGAAATCACCTTGCATAGCTCATCAGTCAGATGGGATTCACCCTGTGTAGATTCACCTGTTTGGGGTTGGGGATTTACCTGATCACCGCAGTGTCCGTAATAAAGAGATTAAGTTTATCTGAATTTACTCTCTGGGGCCGGGATTTAGTGTCCTTTGTCCGTATTAGAGAGAGTCCGTAATATATAACAACTATTCACCGAAGTGGAGGTGGCTAGTATTGGATACTTACCGGGGCCGCAAAGCGGCGAGGTAAATTTCCACTACTAGCCACCGACACTGAGGTGAATAATTGTTTTAGTATATACTAAAACAGTGAGATAATTGAGCACAAAATGATGATTTTGAACTCATTTACTGTTGCCAACGATTACAATTTTGGCGTGCGATGACCGAACGGCCGCGGTCGTCGCTTTTTCTTAGCGACAAATAAAACTTTTGAAAGCGTTTGTTTAGCTCTTGCGGGGAAGTTTCTTCAAAAGGAGTTGTGAATTCTGTTTGTATTTAAAATAATTCTGTAAAAAAGATTATTAAATTTAGTTTTAAGCTTATTTATGAACAAGTCAACTAAATAAAGACTTAAGCTTAATTGGCATTTATGCACAAAAAACTTTTTCACCGGTATTATCAATAACTATTCAAGTCAAAAAGACAAAGCTTTACCTGTTAAAACTTCCAAACCGAACTTCGTCACCTTCTTCATGTATTTCGGAAATAGCTTGCTTGATTAGTTGTCAAATTTCTTAGTTTGTTACGGCAGCAAACCGGGAAAGCATTTTGCTCGCAACCTACGCGAGTTTGGCGTCGCTCGCTCGGAGGAACTGGAGGTGAATCAGTGAATAGTTGAAAACTAGTAAATTGTCAGCGGATAATCTTAAAAAGATACTAGACCTCGATGGGTCGACACCTGAGCCCGCGATACGGTCAGGTGATACTGGTCAGCGGATACCCTGTTTTGACAGCTGTCAATTGATCACAACATTAATGTGCAATATGTGTGCAATATCAGTCTTCCTGTGCTCCCAAACTGGCTAGAAAGTGTGAGATTGAACATTGGTTACCCTGTGGTGCAGGCGGACGGTGTACGGTCACGTGATTACCAAATTTTTTGGATGGGTAGATTTACTTTGCCATGGTGCTCCACAGGCGCGCTTCGCGCGCCAGAGCTCCGCTATTATAGAAGGCTTTTCAAAGAAAATATATGAGAATTTTGTCGGGACACTGGAAACTGTCCCTAATAGAGACGTGTCCGTACCTACATTTTCATCAGCTGAGGCTTATAGTGTAACTGTAATACTTGCTCTTTGCTTCTTCAGTTCTTTATTCTGACTTACACCTCAGTTCGCTCTTTAACTTTCTCAGTTTTTCACTGCGTCGTTCTCCATCATGTTTCTCCTCATTTTCTTTTTCTTTCCTTTCCATCTTCGTTAAGTTACAGACTTCTTCTACTTTTATAGTCTGTCCTTTTAACTTAACTGATTATAGTGGTTTTCCTTATTAACATGGAGTTAACTCAAAAGATAGATATTAACTATAAGAGGAAACCAATATCAAGTTGGTGACAATATGTCCGAGCAATAAAGTGCTTATTCATCTGATTTCAGAGTAATAAACAATTGCTATATTAAGATATGAGCAGTCCATCTTCCCAATAATAAAGACCAGTTAATTAAATGATAGTTTATCTTATAAGGTGGCATATTTATTAAAGTAATATGGCCGTTTCTAGAACCTAAAAACCGCGAAAATGGCGCATTTAGTCCACCATGACTAAAGGCTTGGGTAACCAATGGTCAAACGACCTTTAAAATGGGAGCGACTGTTTATGTAAGGGAAGTAGGTCACGGTGTCGTAAAGAAATCAGCCGCATTGACAAGCACGTCATAACCACAACGGACAATACACCTGGCGAAAAACCTAAATATTACAATTGTGTTACTGTTTGTGTTTATCCATATTAGGTTCTTCCCGTCAGCAAGTCAAGCCAGATGATCACATTCTATTTCGAGAATGGGTGCGTTGCCACCCTTCGGACAAGTGGAACTGAACCTAAGATTAAATATTACACAGAGTTGGCATGCAAACCAGGAGACAAGTAAGTTCATTGTACAGTCGACTTAATAATTTAATCAGAGAAATACATGTAACGTCGAATTATTATGCTATGCAAGGGACAAGTGATTCACGACTTCTCATTCGGATACTCCGAAAAGGTGTTTTGAAGTAAACACCCTTAGAAACCTACAATCTTGGACAAAACTGTTGAGAAAATGTCACATTCTCAGAGCATTTTTCTTAACATCGTAGCTATACCGATTCCTCTCTCCCCCCTCCTCTTTAAAGCAATGTTGTTTTGTGTTCTAAAGCAGCCCTGATCCTTAGACATTAGTAGGACACAACTTTGACCTGGGGTAAGGGGGATTTGGTACCGTAAATCAGTTGTTGTTGAAATAATGTTGTTGCGTAGGATACTGTCCATGAAGGGGTAAAAATTCTCAAGTAGTTTCGTCCGGGATTGTAGCTAAGGGTTAATCAGGAGACGAACAGCTTAACGAGTTGATGAGCAAACAAGCCAACACAGGCTGCTCAAATAGTGGTTCCGGATTAGGCAGAAAAAATAACCTTTTATGATCTACTCGAGAAACGTTACTTTCTACGGTTATATTTTCTTGTTCTTGTAATGCGCATGTTCGCGATAGTTAAGGAGGCGGGAAAAGTTTTCAGAAGTCAACAAAGGCATTCTTATAGCTACAGTTTTGATTTTTCAGTTTCCGTAGGTTTTTTTAGGGTTGCATTATTTTGTGAAAATAACAACAACAATTTACTCAATTTGAAAATAATTTACAATTATGTTACCCACAATTAGCGAGGACTAATGTCGCTGGGTATCAGTACAATAATAGTCAGTAATAATTATGCAAAGTTAAAAAGATAGGAAAGAGGAGGAAAGCAAAACAGGTAGCACACGTAAAAGTAATAGTGGTAAAGGGTATACTATTAAAGAAAACTATGATCTAAGGAAGAGGAAACTTTATCTAAATAAGGAGTTCAGGTAAGAACTAGTAATGGCGGTTATATCAACAGACCATATACCTCCTCAGTCTTCAAAACCTTTAGCAGTAACTTTTGTATCCGTGACCATTTCACTTGTCAGTCCGAGAATCTTGTCTATTGCATATCCTGCCGCCGATACCCACTTCTTTACATTGGTGAAACTGGAACAAACCTTAGGAGTCGCTTCAGCGAACATCTGCGAAGTATAAGCAACAACACTCCTGGCTTTCCTGTGGCCCAACATTTCAACTCCACTGGCCACAGTATTTCTGATGTCCAGGTGCGTGGTGTTGCATTACGCAGTGGTACTGACATTCAACGAAAACAATGTGAGATGCGGTTGATTTTTCAACTAGGCACCGTTCAGCCGAAAGGACTGAATATCAGACTCCGCAGCCACCCAAGCTGTATGGACTACCAAAACTACACAAACCCACCATACCTATGGGGCCCATGGTTTCTTTCTGTGGGTCCTCGACCCACCAACTGTCTAAATACTTAACTAACGTACTGAAACCTCTCACTGACGAATCTAGACAGAAAGTACAGTCTACTGAGAACTTTATTGACGCCATTAAGACAACACAGATACCGGACGTCCACAAACTAGTGTCCTTTGACGTGAAATCATTGTTCACCAGTATTCCACTTCAACTGGCTCTAGACTGTACTGAGAACGCTTTTAAGAACTCTACTGTTGAACTGCCACTACCTTCAGACGACATTATGGACCTACTCAACCTCTGTTTGACTTCGACGTACTGTCAGTACAGCGACAAACACTACAAACAGTTACACGGTGCGGCTATGGGCGCTTTCGTTTCTGTTGGTGTAGCAGAAATTGTCATGCTACATATACAGCTACATAAACATTCATTTATAAGACTTTATATGGAAACGCCATGTTGGTGTCCCTTTGAGAGGCACAAATAAGAGCTTTCCCGGTCGCAAGCTAAATGCCGCGTCACGTAAAAGCCTAGACATTCAGCGTCTTCTATCGCAAAAGGTGACGAAAGGTTTTTAGGGGCCTCAATACCTCATGAAAGTAGAAACCCAGAAGAATCGATAGTTTCTTAGTTTGAATTTTGGTGACGTCATGTGAAAAGCCCCAATTTAATTTAGTAGCCGCCGTCGGGTTAGCTCAGTTGGGAGAGCGCCGGTCTGCTGAGCGGAAGGTCGCGGGTTCAAACCCCGACCGGACCAACGCTTAGGGTCTTTAAATAACTGAGAAGAAAGTGCTGCCTTTGTAATGACATCTGCAAATGGTTAGACTTTCTAGTCTCCTGGGATAAGGACGAAAAACCGTAGGTCCCGTCTCAGCACTTTCACTAATCTGTTCTTGTGAGGCGTAAAAGAACCCACACTACTGTTCGAAAAGAGTAGGGGACGTAGACCCCGGTGGTGTGGCCAACCTCTACGGGTTGTGGGATTGAGTAGGGATGACACCGTGCATGGGACACATGAGTCCCGTTCGTGCCTATTCCCTCTGGGCAGGCCTGTGTCCAGAAAACTTGCAAAACAAAGCAAAACAAAACAAAACGTAACAGGTCTCGTCTGAAAACCACCCATGGGTGATGGCGACTTGCTAAAATTATAATTTATTGTAATGAATGACACAGCTCAAATAAGGCTTAGTGGAAATTCGTAGGATTACACGGCTGTTCAAGTCACTGAGTACATCTGTAGTGGCCTTTTCAAAGCTGCGAAATATCCTTGATTACGAGTTGGTCGAGAGAGTTGCAAAATATCACGTAACCCCACTGCACACTACGAAGCGCTTAAATCAATTGGTAAACAATTTTCAACTCCATAACAATAAGGTAAAAGTAATTTTTTGGTGGATCTTTGACTTTAATGAAGATTTTTTGACTTTTTCTCTGTTCTTTGACGAAAATGTAATAGAAAAAGCTTCCATCGCATTGAGGTTTTGAAAAAAACCAGAACAGCGTAATATTGAAGATTTTTTTTTTTCCGGCAGCCTTATGAAACAGATCTGAAAACTAGGGTTTGTCATTGTCACGATTGGGCTAAGATTACTCTTGACACAACAGTTTGAAAAAATATGTATGAATTCAATATATTATGTCAGATTAATTGCTGCTTTTGATTCTTTTTCACGTTTCAGTCTTGACATGTCAACTGCTATGGAAATTCTTCAAAACGTTGTGAACAATATGGTCCAAGAATTTCTGCAGCCTGACGTAAATAATCTAACTCCCAAGCAAGACTGACGTGTGTGTCCTTAATTTTCAGTACTAGTTTCCGTGCTGCGTTCCAAGATGTTCTTCGTTGATACCTTTTTGGGGAATTTTTGAGTTAAGAGAAGTGATCGAAGTAAACTTCCGCAAGTTGGAATGTGATAAGACATTAATCAAAAGGTTGATTTTTATCATTTCCAGAACAAGAACATTTTAACTATCCTCATTTCAGTATTCTTGTACTAGGAATAGGCTTAATTTTATTGAGAGAGAAAACACGATCCTAGTATCCAATCAGCCAAACATATTGAAAATAAGAATAAAAAATTAAAGCAGAAATCATTCACTAGAGCGTGCTCTAGTAAATGCTTCAGGAAGATTAATATATACAAAAACTGTTTTAGTAACAGTGATCTCAGCAATAACTTTTGTTCAAATTTGTAGATCTGGTTGCCCAAATATGAATTGGAGTAGCCTGCAAGGGTATAACTTTGCCCAACTAGGTTACATGACTGGAAATTCACTGATTCGAATAACAGATGCTCGTGATATGAAATGGGAAAATAATGAACACCGATATACCCTTTGCCGAACTACTGATCAGGTTGTTCAAAGATTGAATAGCGCTATCCACTGGATAAAGATTTATTCTGTGGATACCTTTATCCACCTTTTAAACAACTGAGGCCAGGAGTTTGTAACAATAGGATGGTACTAAAGTTTTCTTAATAAAATGAAGACAAAATACAATCTTAAGTCCTTGGTGGTTTCTTTTTATATTAGTTTGATGGAGTGATATTTTTTTAGGAAGGCTTACCACGTTTTTAGCGGAGCTCCACGCGCGCGCGAGCGGAGCCCTGAAGGCCACTTCGAAAAATACCCTAATATTCTCAAAATTGTCGTTTGGGTAGTACCTCATGTAAACCTTACTTTTGCATTATCTTTTGTGCACGATTTGCACGGGTTGTCAAAAATTTGCATACTCAGGGTATGCAAATTTCATTACGTTCAGGAGTTCGGCAACGAGAGAAGTGAGTTGGAAGTTGTCTTTAATCAAAGATAAAACTACAGGTTTCAGGGCAAGCCTCCTATACGTACCCTAAATTCTATTGTAGAAACTGGCAATCGCACGTGCAGTTCGTGCAAAGAACCAGATAGGTGAACTTGAGGTTTACATAAAGCTCTACGCAAGCGGCAATTTGAGAATATCATAGTATTTTTCGCAATGGCCTATACCTAAGAAAATTTGGTTATACATCCATCCAAGAAATTTAGGTAATCACGTGACCGTCTGACCTTCCGCACCACAGGTATACCAATGTACAGGTATGAAACCACAGTAACTCGAACTGATTTTGGAGGGAAATCGCATGGCCACCCGGACTTTTAGAGAGAAAACGAAAACAACAACAAAGTCGAGTCTTTTTTGGTGTTATCTTTTATGCCTACACTCACGTGGATAACAGAGAAAGAGCTAGAGCGAGTGATTAAAAACAAAGGAGGAGAATTTCGTTGGAGGAAAAACGTGAAAATTTCACAGCGGCGGTGAGAAAATGAGAAATGCTAGCGGCCAGCAAGGTGAAAATGAGCGGCAGTGAAATAAATAAAAAATTTGGGTTGTGTACATACGACAATACATACATATACATACATACAAACAGACAGACAGACAGACAGACAGACAGACATACATACATACATATATTTGATAAGTAGGTTTGTAATAAGAAACTGTACAGCTGATGTGGACCTACTACTACTAAGTCTAGATAAGAGAACAAAGATTTACAGTACAATTATATATTTAAGATAAAAAGACTAATCAAATAATTTAAATATATGTAAATTCAGGTTTCTTATTATAATTTACTGAGAATTCCTTTTGAAAACTGATGTCCCTAACGCAGGTCTTGATCGATTTTACCTTTCTTTTAAAAGAGTGAGGGTTTTCGAGCTGTTTGATAGTGTCACGGGTAAAGAGTTCCAGGCAATTGCAGCTCTGTGTTTAAATGGACGACGACCCTGTTCGGTTCTTGGCCTAGATACAACAACATTTTTAAACGATTTCGTAAGACTATAAGAAGAAGCGTTCTTAACAACTAAACTATTTATATTTTATCACCTAACTCTAAAATCATAAAAAGCTCTTGCGTTATATTTAGAATACGAGCGCAATAAAAATATTTCAATGGCATCCAACTTGCATTTATAAGTAGTTTCGTCTTCCATGTCTCTTGGTAGTTTGTGGATAAGTCTTGCTGCTCTGAGGTGGATTAGTTCTAGATCTTTCATCAAATAATCTGAGCAAGAGCCCCACACGGCCATACCATATAGTACACTTGGGATTACTGTTTTGTAATAAATTATTTCTAGTGTGGCTTTTGGTAAAAAGCTTATGCGTCTTAACATTTTAACTTTAGAGCTGTACGAGGTAGAGACCGATTTTACATGGTTGGCCCAGAGTCTTTCATCAATGGCTATACCAAGACATACAGAGAAAGATCTGTATTCAATGGTTTTGTCTCCCCAAACTAAAGGCTTCAGGGGGCCAATAAAGGGTTTTGTATCCAGGAGTACCGCATCGCATTTCCCTTCATGAATAATTAATCTATTCTTATGGCACCAGGTTTGTAGCTGATCTAATATCACCTGGAGGGCTATAGCAACCTCATCAGTAGTATTACCAATGGTTTAAATGGTAGTGTCGTCAGCATACACGTACACTTCGCCGCTTCTGATGCTGTCTGGAAGATCATTTACATAAGTAATAAAAAGCCTCGGTCCCAACAGGGAACTCTGAGGGACCCCAATTTTTACAGGTTTAGATTCCGAAGATGCGCCATCTATTTGTGTCAATTGGCTTCTATTTGCTAAATAATCCATCAACCATATCCACATATCTTCTGACACTCCTAATGCCCTAAGTTTCTCACCCAGAATGACATGATCTACACAATCAAAGGCTTTCCTAAAGTCAACGAACAATACGCCTACTTTAAGCCCATTGTCCAAGGCTTCTTTCCACACTTCAGTAAGGTGCAACAAAAGGCTTTCTGTAGAATGACCCTAAATCCCCATTGTCTGTCAGACAAGAGATTGTGAGTGGTCAGATGATTATCAAAAGATCTACAAACCACTCTTTCCAGAATTTTGCTAGGAACACTTAGGAGTGATATAGGACTATAGTTATTTACATCTAGCCTGTTGCCCTTTTTGAAAACTGCAGTTTCCTGGCCATGTTTGCAATCGGTCTTTTCGGTCTCGACGAATAATTGTTATGTATATATATATGTATATATATTTACACTGATAAAAATCATCGTGCAATGTTTTGAGTGCAAATTCCCTGAAAGAGTTCTCCTCACTGGAGCAATATCAATATGTAAAAGGTTTTCAAAGGTTTCACACCGGTGTTACCCTGCAAGCAGTAGTTTCTCCAGGCCGGACGCTACGCTACGAAGGGAGAGAAACCACTGCGAGCATCCGTCTGCTTCTTTGATCGAGCCGCCGTCCTGCGCTATGGACGAATAAATTAACTTTAAACATGTAAATCCTGTTTGAAAGCAAGTTTAGGCTCTCGCGCATTTGCTTACGCTTACAATTACTGCTTTAACGCAAGCCTGTTGTGGATATTCAGTATTTCTTTAAAGTATTTATTCCTGTCTACTTACTTTGTCAAATGTAGGCGAACCCAAATGGAGTTGAATTCCAAGGGACCATATCCAAGTTCAAGAGCGAAAAGAAGAATAAATTTCGTCGTTGCTTGTTTACGCACTCCATAAAACGCAAAATTAGGCATCTTCACGTCGTAGTCGTGCAAAAATGGCAAAGAAATGCAAAAATAAGAGCGTGATGCACGTGCAAAGTTGCTGTTTTGTTTATTAAACCTATTGTTTTGTTGAAGTTCTCGTTGCCGTCTTGTCGTTGGATATTCGTAGTGATCACGTGGACGCGCATGCTCGATGGAAAAGCAAACGGTTGCTCGCCACATTAGATATTTTTCCCGATCACCACGCCTACCTCGGTTGCAGTTTGGTTATGCCGGGAGGAGACACGAAATTTTTCATGTTTACCGTGCTTCCTTTTGGGTTGTCGTCCGCTCCATATATTTTCTAAAAGCTCTTTAGACCATTGGTTAAACAATGGAGGTCTCTGGGTATTCATTCCGTTGTATATTTAGACGACGTCCTAGATGTAGAAAGGAGCGAGGCCTCATCTAGTACTTGCTCTTCCGTCATTAGTCCAAACGTTGCGTCGGCGGGTTTTGTCGCCAACGTAGACCAGGTCATTGTTTGGAAGGGCATTGTTTGGGATGGTGCTCAGGGGATCATGTTTCGGGTACGGATATTTACACCCACACAATGCTCACGGTTTTTGAGCATTCGCAAAGTTCCACATATCGTAAATTGGTAGCCATCCTGTTTGTTTTGGTTTCATTGGCTCAGCTTATGTTTGTCTCCAGGGTAAAATGGTTTACTGACAGCCAAGGGGCGGTTAGAATCATTCAGGTGTGTAGCATGCACTTCAACCTGCATAATTTGGCTTCCGACTTTTTTTTTTTTTGCTCTAATCATGGGATCAACCTGCACATTGAATGGGTTCCGCGTTCGCAGAACGAAAAGGCCGACTACCTTAGTAAAATTATTGACTACGATGATTGGGAGGTTAGTCCGCAAATATTCCATCTATTGGATGGCCGTTGGGGTCCCCATACCGTCGACTGTTTTGCCACGTTTTACAACTAAAAAAGTTCCTAGATTTTTCTCTAGGTTTTGGAACCCGGGTGTCCTCTGGCGTTAAAGCATTTTTTCAAGTTTGGCAGGGCGAAAATTGTTGGGTGGTAACCCCTGTCGTTCTCTTGTCCAAAGTGTTTAATTTTATGTTTCACTCTAAGGTCCAGGGCACGCTAGTTCTCTCCTACTGGCCTTCAGCCCCTTTTTGGCCTGTGTTGGTTCAATCTCGTTCCCAGAGGCCGCGATCCTTTTGCCCCATCCGCTGGACAAACCTAACGGAGGCTCTGGGGACGAGATTGCTTTTGGTTCGGACCTTTTGGAGGTTTGTAGTTGATTATCGGTTTTTTGAGGGCGCCTTGGCTTTGCATCTAGGGCGCAACACCAAATCACTCTTGGGCTCTCCTACCTGGTCTGGTCATATCCTCGCGGTAAGGCTTGTGTTTTCGTAGGGTTCCCCAGGGAGCACTTTTGTCATTTGATATGCCCCTGGTTTTTTGAACATCGGATTTTTTCGGGATATTTGTTCCCGTTATTTTTGCCGGATGGCAGAGTTAATTATTCAGTTTTAGGAGAGTTTTTTTTTTCAGGCCTTCTCCGGATGGCTAATAAGGTTTTTCTTTTTTTGTTGCCGGATGGCTATTACAATTTTCTTCGCGGCACTTTTGTGTTTGCCAGTTGAGGAATTTTTTTTACGTCTGCACTTTTACTGTGGTAGGGTGTATATCTTATGCATTATATACAACGAATTCTTTTCCTAGCATACTTTACTTTGATTTGTAGTTTTGTCTTCTCCGTTCCTTTTTCAGGATTTGCGGAATGCTTCCACATGGGTTGAAATTCGCGGTATTCAGAAAGAGCGTATGCTGAGGCAATTGCTTTCATCAAAAACTATCTCCACTGTCAGAAAATATATGCTTCACAAGAGAAGTTTTCGTGCTTATTTCAAGTCCATGGGAGCGGTTTTTACTCTCCCCTGCGATAGTTTTTTGGTATCCGAATATCTCTCATATCTTCATTATGCAAAAAATTCTTATTTCGTCCTCGCTTCGGTTTTGTCTTCCTTGAAGTGGGTTATGATATTATTCCCCATTCTCCTCTAGGTAACCCAGTAGATATGGTCGAGTTGGGTAAGCGTTTGTTTAGTAGATCTTTCAGGAAAAAAGAGCCTGTCTCTCCTGATATGATTAATCGCATTTGCCCCACTTTTGCTCACAGCAATAGCAATCTCAAGGATTTGCGCACAGCCTTATTATTTGCTTTAGGATTCTATGGTCTCTTTAGGATTAGTGAGTTACTGGATTTGCAATTTTCCGATGTAACAGTACATAATGACTATTTAGAAATCCTTCTTAAGTGTAGCAAAACCGACCAATATAGGGAAGGTAAAAAAGTACTTATCTCCAAGATCGGAGGCATTAATTGTCCTTACGCTCTCATCGGTTGCTTTCTTGACTGCGTCAGAGTCAATAGAAATTCTTCACTCTATAATTTTGGGGCAGTGAGATTTCTGGAGAATAGTAATTCGTATGCACTGTGTTCCAGAAGACTCAGTTATACGAGGGCTAGAGAATTAATTAAAGAGGGTCTTTCGGCCATAGGCGTAGATTCTACAGACTTTAGTACCCATAGTCTTAGAGCTGGTGGAGTGGTTTTCTTTGCGCAGAACCTCCCTTCATCTGACGCTCGGGCAGATTACTTATGCTCCACGGTCGCTCGAAATCCGTGAAAGCTAAGAATATCATGTACGTAAAAGAGCCTATAGATAGTAGGTTGCTGTTAACCAAGTGTTTACCCTCATCCTAGCGCTGCAAATTATCTTTCCTTCACATCGCTTTACAGCCTTATTAGTAGCAGGCCTGTTTATTTTGCTTCGCAGGCGCTGTATCCGCCTTTTCGCGTCAGCTTTTTCGCTATTAGTTCTTACATACGTTTATAGGTTATATTTTCATGAGTTTATTGTATAGCTTCTGTATAAGCCTTTAGTTTTTCAAGCCTCCTTTGAAGAGAATAAGTGTAGCTTACTAGTGTTAGTTCATTTAAACCTTTATACTCTTATTACTTCTCGAGGCAAGTGTTCGCACTCTGCCTGCCTTTATTTCATAGCGCTCAGTTCCTGTATTTATCCTGACTTTTTGTGTTCAATTTTTTCATCCTAATTTGCTTTAAAGTAGACATTAAAATACCGTCGGGCAAGTGGTTCGCACTCTGCCTGCCTTTATTGGGTTGCGTTGTGTCTTATGCTTCAGCATTATAAAGAAGGAAAATGATTTTCCTTCGTACAAAAGCAGTGAGGAAGACGGAAAAGGAAACATTCAGCACAACACGCGTAATTTTCCTGTATAACGTCCCACTTTCAATCGAATTGTCAACTTCGATCATCGAACCGTATCGAATTCAATCAAAGTTCTGTACAGTTCTACTGGGTTCAATAGCTCAAATTTTTTGGTGAGACTTCGATTGTGTTCGATTACCGAACTTAATTAACCGAACCCAATCGTTCGATAAGTTCGACTAATAAAGCGTTCGATTTGGCTGAGTGGTTACGTCGGGTGAATTGTATGACACGAAGTCCTACCACCATATAATTGTGTCAATAACAAAGTGGGAGAATCATAGGATTGGAATATATACTTAAATTTAAAACCCTTATTACTGATCATCTTATAGCCTACGAAGCAAAAAAAATGGCTTTCAACTTTCGGATAGATTATCGACTTTGGACCTTCAACTGCCTGAACTATTTTAAATACCCTTTTTAAAAACTTAAATGTGTCAATGAAACTGAAGCTGGGAAACTTGCTCAGGGCTCACGGGTTTGATTTGCTAGCATCCACTTAATTGTTAAACTTTATTGGCTAACACCATTTTATCGGCTGTTTAACTTGCCGATTTGACCCGTCCGATTATTTTTACAATAAATGAGGACTGGTGAGAACCAATCAGATGCGAGAATTTTGTCGTTGGCACAATTAACGATTGTAAAGGTGCGTGTCGGTTTGAGTTCTGCTTTCGATTAAAGTGAGTGAAAAAGGGCCGCGCTTACCTTCAGTTCTACAAACCCAGCATGCTGGGGGTGAACGTTGAGGAAGCTATAATTGTCTTGTTACGTGCCACTTGGAATATAAACAGATAAAGCAACGTGTTTTTGGCGGTTAATTCCGTGCTGTGGCTTATCACAGATTCTGAATGCCAAAGGGAGTAAATTCTAATTTGGCGCAATTTCAGATATGACAAATGGCGCGCTCAAAAAAAAAAACGTCAAGAATGGGTTGTTAAAGTTAAGGCGAGTCTCTGCAAATAATTGCGGGCGACAAGAGGAGCCTGCAATGCTAACCTCCAGGTTGTTATTACGCATGCGTCGCATGTATGTAGACAGCATTCGCTTGGACTTCCACTAAGAATGAATGGAATGCACAAAACTCAATTTGAACACGCGCGTTTGGATTTGCTATCACTCGAAATCTGATCACGCGTGTTTTGACTATACAGTAAAAACCCGCAACTAAGAACCTACATTTTTAGGAGTTAGCTTAGACAGGTTCTTATATAAATGGTAGTTAATAGAATTTTAGGCTATTTAGGTTCTTAAAATGGGTTCTTAATACTGGAGAAAAAACAATGCATAATGGTGTGCTGATCTACATATTGCTTAGTATGCTTTGTAAGTCTACATATCTTGCACTCATTTTTCGTTAAAAAACATTTTTACAACAATGGCAATCTGCTTTTTTTCTTCAAATATGATTCTTGCAATGCAGCTGTGCATGTAATGTACAAGTATGATTTTAGAAAGTAAGAACCTGTTTTAAATTTCTTAGGCTAAATAGGTTCTTGTTTATAGGGGGTATAAATGACCAATTTTAGGCAAACAGGTTCTTAATTTTTAGGTTCTTAGTTGCGGGTTTTTACTGTATGTCGCGTGAAACTTACGCAAAGCACAGCGATCGAGCAAAAGCCCTTCGTTGTTGCCCGCACTCCGTGACCTATGATTATTACTAGTAGTAAGTACTGGGTCTGTAAGTACTGATCGATGTCGACTTTTCTCCTTAAGGTGCAAGGCTTAACAAATTTTTTCCCAAAATGCTTAAAATGGCTTCAGAAATCTTTAATCATGCTTTGTTGTTGTTTTTAGGTCTTTTCCTCAAAATTTCCCGTTGGGTGTCCCTGAATATTTTTTTAAAGTTGTTTTCGGTGGAAAGTTGAACTAGATCTACATAAAATTTGAAGCAAACATGTGATTACCTCACACTGTCATACCCGTTTTTTTCAGGTGTATTAAAGTAAAACAAAGTGAAAAATGTCCATAGCATTTATTTACTGACTAAAAAAAAAATTTTATCCATCAGATTTGGTAAATACTAAAATCGATATTCCCCTTCACGGGTTGTTGTATATTAAACGCTGGCTTTGCTTTCTAACTGGATGAAAACAAACTCAACATAACTGGCCAGTATTTCATCTTGAGCTTTGATTCTAGAGTCGCTAATGACGCATCCCGCAACGCTTGAAGTTAAAGACATGGCGACGAACTACTCAAGTATTTCGTCATCACTCATCTCCCACACCTACAAACATAAACAGACCACTAAGCGCTATCATTATCATTATTAGCTGCTGCCTATCATCGGATTAGGGATAGATCGCTTTTAGGAGTGGATGTTACAAGTGAGAAATGTGGAATGCTGCCGGAAAGGGAGAAAAAGATATAGTTTGGGTTTGAATGCTCACAAAGTATAATTGAATGTATCACTAATTATTGTACGGAACGTATTCTTTTGGAAATACAGTAGATCACTTTCAAAGGAATTCTTGTGCTTATCTATTCTCAATGTATTGACTTTTTTCGTACTTTTTTCCATTTTTACAAACAACAAAGGTGGGCCAACGGACATTGAGGCATGATTTTCCACAATCCTATTTTGAATACACTGAGTCTTCACAAGGACTCACGCCCATCCCTACATGTGTAGTTCCAAAAAATATCCATACCTCCCACGGAGGGCACTTTTGTTTTAGACCCCAACCCCTGGAATTTCCGTAATTTTCCAACTTGGTTGGGTAGCCCCTGGAAAGAATATTTCCCTCAAAAATGCCGTTGCACTATACTTTTATGTGAAAGATAATTATTTCTACAATAAAACGACAAAATTTTTTTTACTTATGTTAACACAGTGTCAAATAATCTCAGTTTTGCCTTTTAGAGGTCTTCTTAGTTAATTATAAACGGTAAGTCGCTTAGGTTAATAGAGGCTGTACAGACGTACACGACACAAGTTATGCCATCTCTCAAAGCAGTGAACTTTAATCACTTCTTTTTAGTTAAAATCATGTTAGAAGAAGGCTTATTAGAACATGACCACACTACAGTGAATACCACAATATATTGTGTCACAGAGCAACTGCAGATAGATAACCAATTTTATTAATGAGCCGACGACAATCGAGTGCTACAAAAAGGTCCATAAACTATTGTGCAAGCCGTCAGAAAAGTACCCAGCCGACCACAAATACAAAATCATCGATGAAAACAAAAATTTTTGCTTTGAAACACCGATGAACAGTAAAATAACTGATAGCTTGCTCAACAGAACAGCTGTTAGTTGTTAATAACTCCCCAATCTTACTTGGAGCCCCCCGAGAAAAGACCTCGAGCGGTCACCCCTCCCACCATCCCCTCGGAAATTACCTCCTTTTGGACACCCTTCGCCTCTGAATTTCCGTTTTCCTCCGTGTATGCGTGTGTGTGTGTGTGCGTGTGCGGGGGGGGGGGGGCGGGGGAGCGTCTTTGGTACGGGATGACGAGGGGGCAGTGGTACCTTCTCAAGCTTTTAACTTGAGTCTGCCTTTGGTGGGGCTGGATGCACAGCTGTTGTTGGCTGCAGCAGTTATGTGGCGATACGCTACGTTGCAGAACATCATCCCGAGAGGGGCGGAGGTTGGGCGGTGAAGAGAGGCAATGACCCCACCCGTCCTGGGCGCCCCCCGAGAAAATCCCCCGGGCGGCCCCCCCCCCCCCCCCCCCCTCGGAAATTCCCCCCTTTTGGACCCCCTTCGCCCCTTATTTTCCGTTTTCCCCCGTGTATGGGTGTGTGGGTGGGTGGGCGGGGGGGGGGGGGGGGGGGAATATTTTCTGGGAGTACACAATGAGGTAGGAAGTCCGTTTCCAAACTATTGATTCAGGTAAGTTCGTCGTTTGGTTGGAAATGTCCGTACATTTACTCCGCACATATACAGTACGGCTACTTTGGGGACAGAAAAAAAGTGGCCGTTATGGGGAGGTAAGGGTGACTTTTTGGGGAGTAGAACGTGGAGGAACATGTTTATTGTGGCAGGTTCATGCTTACTGTAGCCTATAACGGTAATCCAATCATAAAATAAACACTATATCGAGATAATACAATCTAAAAAACTTACATAATGTTTTGAATCAAAATGACAACATGAAAAAACGTGCAAGGTTCGCAACGCTATAAGTTTTGTAGACAATTTTTGCTTACTGTAGCTGTATAAAGATCTATAAATGGAGCACAATCAAAAAGCAATCAAAATGCGATTGCCACGATTGATCTTCGACGCGCAATACAGATCAAATTTCGTGAACATTCTTGACTTTTTCGTCAGTCGCTGAAAAACTGGCCATGGTCTTGGCCGTTGCCGTTGTAGAGAGGTGTAAAAAAGAGTCTATGAATGGACTGTCTGCCCGGAAAAAAAGTGGCCGTTGTAAAGAGGTGGCTGTTGTGGAGAGGTAGCCGTTAGTGGAGGTTCGATTGTCATCCGATGTGATAATATCATTATTGACTTACCTCACTAACTCTTGTATCCTGTAGTAGTTGTGTTAGACCCGTTAGGTCCTCTAAGTAGCTTGGAACATTAAAAACCTTCATGAGAAAGGAAAATTCATCTTCTCTGTAGCTTGATAGCACCTGGATATAAAGCAAATTTGAGTATCCAAAAGTCAAATGCACGCAAAAAGTCCTTGAAAATGACAATAGTTACGGATTCGTGCGGTGAAAGGGTTGAAAATGTACTCCATATAGGAAAGAATTTCAGTTTCTTAGAACTTGACAGTATTTTCGCTACGGTGGTTTCCAGATACTTTTCATGAGCGGTTCCAGTTTAGGTTAGACTGCGAGGAGTCTCTTATTTTTGTTTTAAGTCGCAGTAGATAAAGAGCACGCGTGAGGGGCGAACGGCGAAGCTTGCGTTTACGCTCGCCGCGCGTGGCTCTGAGGAAGATGGACGACCGCTTGCGGTCTAAGTTTAGGTCAAGTCTTTATAGTGACACGCGCGAAAAGCTTTGCCGATCGTGGCTTCAGCCTTCGGCTGAAGATGTGTCGGCCGCAAGCCGACAGTAAAACATCCCGCCGCACGCGAGAAAAAACCTATAGTACCCAAAGTTCCTCTTGAACTATGACAAAATATATTCAACCACCTCTCTTACTTGGCTATGTGGTTTAGGTAAATAAAACAGACAAATTACTTCGCCTCACGAATTCGAGTGGGTTGGCTGACTAACGTTCCGATAAGGAGAACTTTGATCATTATATTCATGGCTTGTGCTGTGCGTAAAAAAAGGAACTTTAGGTTGGTTAGTTTTCATGTATATTTTCATGGCGGCTGGTCATGATTTTTCTCGCTCTCGCCATTTGAGGCCTTCACTTGAATTTTTTGCAATCTCTTTGCTTCTTTATCAACTTTTTCGACAACAGAACGGCTATTACATTCGACTTAGCTGCTGTTATTAAAATTATTAGTTTTATTTCTTGCTATCTCTATTTTGTAATTAGCTGTAATTATTTGTACTAGTAGGTCGTCATCAGCTTTTGGCTGCCTTCCTAAAACCTACTCAAATAAAATATGTATGTATTTATATGTATTACAATTACTCTTTGTTATTATATAGACACAAGTGTTTTACTGGAAAATATGCCACTCGTAAAATTCATAAAAACTACATCCGGGACCCGAGTGGTTTATTTTCCATAATCTCACACGTGAGTTTATCGATAACATAATTTCGGTAATTTTCCTTCGAAATTTGTAGGCGTCTTGCGTCTTGAATTTTACTTACACATTTTTCAAAGTTTTGCTTATATTTTGTCATTGTAGAGCCCTATTCAGTTCAGTATTATTTCTTAAGATTATTGTAACCAATGTCTTATGTTGCTGTGCTGTAAATCTGAGCCGTCACAATTACTTTTTGGCAAATAAAAATCTATTATTTTATCAATGTCTTTTTATCTATATAATAAAAAGAACATTACACGGCCGCTTGAAGATATGAATTTTATTTTCTCGTCGCAAAAACAATATTTTACTCACTCGATGCGCTCGTTCGTAGAATATTGTTTTGCCACTCGAAAATAAAATTCATATCTTCGCGCCACCGTGTAATATCCTCTACTTATTGTCACACATTTTCATCTCAGCATCAGTCACAACGGTAATAGCAAGGGAAAAGACATACTAACGCCGACGTCAAGAATATTCAATGAACTGTCTCACCTTAGAAGAACAGGCAATACACTTGTCAAAGGCCAGACTGGCAGGAAGAACTAAGTGATATCTTGACAAAAAACCGCGAATCTACAAAACAAATTAACAAATGAGCTTTTTAATACCTATGTGATGTCACAATTGGTGCAGCAAAAATGAGACCATTGACGTGAGCTCTGTCTGGGATTATTTCGAGTTAAACATCTTTTTAGTTTCGTCGTGATTTCTGGTCAATAATTAAAGCGGAAGTGTTGGGCACCTTCCACGGACAATCTACAGCCTTATCACGTTGGGCAAATGACTTGCTTTCACGGTAAACAGAATCACCGGACAACAAACACGTAGACTGCAAGCAGTCTCTCTTTTTCTTCAGATTTAGTGAGGAGAGTGCACGCGAGGGCGAGCAAGGCAGCCCAAGAAGAAAAAAGAGAGACTGCTCCCACACCCACAGCAAATGAATTATGTGTTGCCCTAACAAATCAAAACTACGATTAGCTGATGCTTGAAGTGTTGACAACATACTGTCCACAATCGATACAATTGACCAGATGAAAATGGCTGATCTCTATCCCGTGAGAATCTAAAGAGCTGGACAACATCCCATTCACCGCCGAAAAAACTACATGCATGCAGGAGCCGATTACTAGTAATCGCCTCTTTGTCACGCATGCATTCTGATCTTTGTTGGTTAATAATTAACAGGTAAAATATTGTAAAAACAAAACAAAACAAAGAAAACAAAAACAATACGACCAAAAAGATAGCCTGCGAACCGCAGACGTATTCCGGTCGTCGCTTCTCTCCCTTCGAAAAATATTTTCTCGGCGGGTGAAACTAGAGCCGAAAACACTGGATGCTCTCGCAGGCTACCAAAAGCAGAAGAGAAAAAAATTTCCCCCGGCGAAGTCGAACCCTCGACCATTAACGTGTAATGTCATCGCCTTGTCTATAGCACCACGACACCAAATGTTAAATGTGCATGTTAAATTAATTACGTTTAACGTTTTTGCCCATGAAATTCTGCCGGTAGACGCTGTTTGAAGCTGGTAGAGCTGTATTTTTTTATTCAAAGATGTATTCGAGGAAAATAAGCAGAGCTTTGACGGTAAGAGCCGTACTTAAACTCATTTGGCCGCATGTAAAGACCAAGAACATATGGCGGATAAAGCGATATTATAAAGGTGTCTCGCAAAACCGTAGCCTGAGAGCAAGCTCTCCTGTTTGGGCGAGCGAAGCGAGCCGCAGGAGAACGCACGAGCGAGTGGCGGAACCGCGAGGGGCCGAGAGGCCTTTCTCTCCCCCGACTCTGCCTTCGCGTCTCCTCTCGCGTGCCTCTCGCGCGTCCACCTTTCACGATACCCGCCAAATAGAGAGCTTGCTCGCAGGCTAGAAAAACCGCCGCGAAGTCTCTTGCAGACGACGTCGTACAGCTTGCAATTCTCGGCATTTAACGCAAGACTTAAAACGCAAGAGACTTTAAGACTAACGCAAGACTTGCGCTTGTAAACAAAAAACTTTTTCACCAGTTTCATCGATAAATTCAAGTCAAACAGACAAAGCTTTACCTGTTAAAATTCGTCACCTTCTTCGTGTATTTCAGGGACAGCTTGTTTCATTATTTGTGAAATTTCTTTTTTTGTTGCGGCAGCCGACCGGGAAGCCATTTTAATCGTAACGTACGCGAGCTTGGCGTCGCTTGCTCGAAAGAGCTGGAAGTGAATTAGTGAATAGCACTGCATATCCGGAGTTTGAGTAGCCAGGAAAATCGCACTCCGCTTGCGATCCTCACGCGATCCGCGCAGGACAAAATTATAAACTCGCTTTCGCGAAACGCTTTGCGAGGAATTATTATTTTAAGCCATAGTTCGGCTATTTCCTTTCCATTTCTGTAAAACTTATGAAATTTTCCACCAATTTTTCCAGCTTTACCGAAAACAGCTTAGCTGCCGCGCCTTCTGCAGTCCCTTTTTTAAACAATAGACCTTTTCAGGTTGCATGCTTTGTTTTCCCATTTCTCAAATTCATCAATAACTCATAAAGAAAATACAAAGGAAATTAATGTTCAATGAGTGTTTAGAAATTAGATGAAAAAGTGCTCATTTTTGCATCCTTAATTTCTACTCCTAAAATCGTTTTGTTTAAGAAGAAATTATCAAGCATTCGACACAGTGTTTCATCACCAGATGAAACACCTCGTCAAAAATACTCCGCTGCGCGTCGTATTTTCAACTCTCTTCTGGGGATGAAACGCTTAGTCTCATGTTCGATATATTCCTTCAAATCACGAAATGGTAGCCCAGGGAACTGTTTCCTTCAATCGTTGTCCTGTCCACGAGCGTTCGGATGCATAATTCATGAAAACAAAAAAGACAAATTCCTTTAAGAACATCACGTGGTCTAAATTGGGAAAAAATATTTTAAGATAGAAAGGTCTATTAACCGTATTTAAGAATATCAGCAAAATCTTCCAAATCAGTGTGGCCAACGGTAGCTGGTTATGAAGAATTACCGGGAGATTTAAGCCCATCAGAAAGGGAGCTATTTTGGGGCTAAGCAATAATTGCAATTACAACACTATTTCAAAGAGATCGGTCTCACCTGGTGCGGTACTAATCCCAGATGACATTCGAGTTCAGCTGTTAGGTGTGCATCTTTTGCACTCGTATCAGCTGCAGCCCCATCCCTACAAACGGAACACAACAATTAAGAAATACTATGACAATTATTAACTTAAAACCTTTCTACCGTACAAAGGAATATACTGCGCATGCTACAGTAAAACGATCTGTGTAAAAGAAACAGCGGATTATAAGGACCACCAAGCTAAAATGTTGGCCAAATAAGGCCCTCCATTAAGTAACACCTAATTCAGCGTGATAAATGAAGCAGGTTCATTACACAACAGACAGATTACACACCAATGGGATATATCCAAGGCTTTCTGAGGGACTGTTACATATACACAGTGCTCCCGCACACAAGGGATTGGGGGCTTACGTTGGAAGAGGAACAGATTAGCACCTCTACGACCAGTTTCTCTTCACATATGAAGGGAAGTATAGCCCTTTAAATTCACTCCATTCCGCAAGGTCTTTTGTTCAGTCCTCAGTGAGAGCAAACCGATGTCCAAAGCTTAGTTATTTAATGGTTAATTAATGGTGTCGCTGACGAATATCACACCATTATTTAAATAGTCCATCCAATTTTTATGGGTAATAGTCGATCATTCAGTGATAACATGACAACCAAACGTACCCTAAAGGATGCTGCGTTAGAGAGACCAAGAGCTCTACTGCTAGAGCACTTGCAATGTAAGACATGCCTGGTCTGGACACGGTACATTGCTGATCCAAGGTGCGATCACGGGTGGACTGCGAGTAAGCAAATACGAAACATTTTTAATTTACTTGTGTATAACCATATACAGTCAAACCTGTGTTAAGCAACAGTCACCCTTGGTGACAGGTTGACCGTTTAATGCAGCCCGGTTATGCTATGCTTTTAGGCAGAAGTTCGGCTATTTCTTCTCCGCCAAACGTATGAAAGTTTCCGCAATTTTCTCTAACTCTACCAAAACGACTGAGTTAAAACAATCTCGCTCCAAAGGTTTCTAGGTTGCGTTACCCTTTTCTGGCCATAGTCTGCACTATTGACGTCATTTTAAATATCGGATATCACATTTGTTCAACGCTAGCTGGTTATAGATTTGAGCCAATCAAAAACGGAGAATATTTTGAAAGGAGAATAATTAATAAATAAGTTGTTGGGACCTTGGAAAAGGTAATCGCGACAGCCTAATAGGGATCAGTTTTACACTACAGAAATTATTTCCGGGACTTTGGTAAGTGATCGCTTAATAGAGGATGAGCCCTTAATACAGATTTGACAATACAACAGCTCTCTTTAGAGGCGGTTTACCACACGCATAATTAAACAGTCACTAAATCAAACCCCCTAACCGCGAAACCTTGCGCGCTACACTAGAACCCAGCTCTCCGTTCCGTGCCAGCAAAATAGTAATTTATGTCAATTCTAATTTACACAAATTACATTATTGTTCATTACTTCACCTCGCCGAAGTTTCAAATTTGCCGCCTCGGTAGTTGTCGGAATTTTGCACGTGTGAAGACACCATTCTTTACCGAGCCATTTCAAAAATGACCAAATATGGCCAATTCTACAACAGAAAACAATACCAATTGTATTCGAATTTGATCTTCTCTTCTTGATGCGAGATACCAAGACTAGGTCAGAGGCAATACACAAAGCCAGTTTTTCTAGCAACAAACTTACATCTCCAGGAGCCACAACATCATTACAGAAATAGCAACCAAGCGAGGAGCCTGGAATTGCACTGAAAGGAGCTGTTCCCTGTGATACGACGTTTCCTGCTTCCCTTGAACCATGTCGCATGACAAGAAATGTATCAAAGCCAAGTGCTGCCGTGATCACAAGCTGAGAACAACGGTAACAGTATTAAACAACAAGATCGCAGCAGATGTAAGCAGTCACAGAAGATTAAAAGAATTGTTTGTTTCCACTTTCATTAATAAGAGGAAAAAGAAAAGCCACAGGTGGATCATCCTCTGTTCGTGTGGCCGTTGTTGTTATTGGAATATGAAATCAAACGAAATATTTACTGAGTCATGTCTATTCGCCATTCCAGTTGTTTAAGGCGTTAAAGCTTTGCTAGGTAAGGGACCGCTCACTTTTTACGGCGGGGGAGGAGAGGACTGGTGGGATTTGACGGGCAGCTCCTGGAGTATACGATGACCCCTCCTCTTCATTATAATTTTTGGGTGCCGACCCTCCCTGTATCCCAAATTAATTGAGATGACCCCCGGCCCCCCTCTCCCCCCCCCCCCTCCCCACCAAGAAAAAAAGAAAGAAGGGGGGAGGGGATGAGCGGGGTGAGTCGGAGGGGAGCGCCAAGGGTGAACAACTAACCCCCCCTCTAATTTGTTTTTTTGGGGCGCGGCCCCTCCTGTTGCCCCAATCTAATGGGGTCGCCCCCCCCCCCCCTCCCCCCCCCCCCCCTCCCCACCAAGAAAAAAAGAAAGAAAGAAAGAGGGAAAGAATGAAGAACAAAAATGAAAAATGCCACAGTGAACGTTATTTTTTCCCAATGAAACGCCCGATTTTGTATGTTATCTTTTTGTCTTTTAGTGGGTAGGATTGCTTTTTGGCGCATAATAAAGTAGGGAACTTGCAGACTAAGAGAGGAAGACCTAGGACCACGTTACGTACATGCACACTCTGCTTAAGGACACTGGGCTCGCCTCTATCGGAGAACTCAGAACGGCAATGCTAGACCAAAGTGACTGGCCAAAGAGAATCCATGTTGTCCGTGCTTGCGCTCGACCAAACTAGCTAACCAAAAGAAGCATGTTTTCCCGGGAAAAACTGAACTTTCCGAACGTCAGAAACGCTGGTTTTCGGCATTCTGGTAGGCTGTTTGCAGTACTACAGATGCCGTCACTGCGAGACAATTTTTTTGGTAATCCCCCCTTTACACCCAATATTTTGCTCTTCACCCCTGCCCCCGTCCCCTTTAAAGCAGTTATTTTCGTGGCCCAGGCTCAAATCCCACCAGTACCCCCCAACCGATAAAAAAATGACCGGTCCCTAATAACAGCTTACACAGCTCAAAAAGCCGTCGTCGACTACAGCCATTCTTACAGACATCATTGGGCCTTGAAATTATAAGATGTAAATGGGATTGACATTGTAGTTTTGTTATATACCTTGTTTTTTACAGCGCTTAATACTGTGGGTAACCATCGGCTCTCCCGTGTGTCCATCAACAGGAAAACTGCATCGTGACTTTCAATAAGTTCTTCAAGTCTACTCACATCTCGTTTTACTTTCTCTGCTTCCTCTGAAACCATAAAACAAAATCCATTAATTACAAATCGCAAAACTTCACAACAGATGATCACTAGAGGAGATAAATAAAAAACTGCAATTTAGTGTTCCATAAAAGTTAACGCATGAGTTTATTTAAGGTGTTTCGATGTAGTTTTTCAGAAGCCATACCGATATTTCTCAAGTGATTTTATCGCCAGCTTGTCTAATCACCGGCTATAAAATTTTCACCAATGATTGACTATAGATTGAAATTTGTCAAAATGTAGGTTTTAGTAAAATCGATATTACTATGACAATAATAAACAAAAAAACTTTCAAATTGATAAACGCCTAATTTTGCGCGATCTAGACCAGCTACTGGAAAACGACTCGAACGAATTTCTGTTAAATATCTTCACATAATCTCCATAATGTATATAATAATGTCTGAGACTTCGTTCTAGTCGTTTCAGAGATATACAAAGAAGCGCTAAAAGTCCAAATTTTGAATGAAGTTGCACTTATACAGGTGGTGAGAAAACGGGATAGTTTTCAAGATCGCAAGAACGAAAATACACCAATATTTCCTAGCATCAAAATATGATATTAAGCAGCATTCTGACGCTACTTAAGAATAATTTGAGTCATTTATAACGCTTATATTAAATAATCTATCACAGCTATTGAAAATTTAAGGTTTAAAATATATTTTCGTTTTAGTCGAATTCAAACGTACAGAATTTTTTTACTTCTTACGGAGATTGTTTTCTAAACACCAAACTTTAAGTTCCTAGTGTTGGATTTTCAGTAGCTGGTCTCGATCACTCAAAATTCGGCTTTTTATCAATTTCAAAGTTTTTTGGTTATTGTTGTCATAGTAATATCTATTTTACGTAAAACTACATTTTCGCAAATTTCAATCCATAGCCAGTTACTGGTGAAAATTTTATAGCGATCGGACAAGGAAAAAACCACTTTTAAGGCGATTGAAAAATATCGGTATGGCCTCTGAAAAACTGTATCGAAACACCTGAGTGAATACTTTTTACCTAACTGGCCAACAGAATGTCCAGGCATAGGTATTGACAGCTGAACAGATGACGCATTCTGAAAGTAATCCAGTAACATGCTATGTTAGTAGCACTTGTCAAATTCTGATCATTAAATATGTGCAGATGATACTTATCTCCCTTATGCTTATTTCTTTTATTTCATGTTTATTCTATTATTGTATTTCTGATATTGTAATTTATTTAATTTATATTGACTTGATGCGAAAGCGTTGTCAATTAGTAAATGTAAATGTAGAGGCGGATAGATCTCCTACTCAGGAAGTCTAAAGCAATGGCTCGATTCAATTAGTCAGACCATTCAAATTTTAACATCACCAAGACCAAACCTCTGTTTACTAGAATCGTCTCGATTACTGTTCTGCTGTTTAAGTGGTGTTCAGGTCGTCACCAAAAACGTCAGTAATAACAAAATAGGGCTGCGAGTATAGGAACTGCATCTCATTGGCTAGTCAGATCTGACTCGGACACTTCTAGTTATAAAAACTCGAGTGTTAGCGTATTTCACTCGCTTTTCTATCCCAAAGGAAAACTTGACACTACTCGTATTCTAGAATTGGGGTGTTTTAAACAATAATCATGTCTTACCACACCAGGAAATATCCTTTTTAAGGCAGAAGCAGCGGTTTCAGCCTTGAGCTTGCCTCCGTCCTGACAATCCAAAAACTCAAACAGTGTTTGGCGCACAGGATTGGAAAACGAGATTCTTCCATTGTCAACAAAGGTTATTGTGCGAACACCCCATCCCTTAAAAGATAAGGAGATGAAGATATTTACAAACATCTGTGAGTGTATGTGCCAGTAAGTTGGCGTTGGCATTACTGAATGCAATTACCAACATTTGGTATCCCTGTGATAATAATACTATGTTCTGCTCCATACTTTCATGTCATCATCATCATCATCGTCATCATCATCATCATCATCATCATCATCATCATCAACAACAACTTGTTCCCAGTGGCGCATACTTCTCTTACTAAAGAACTCAATTTAGGCCTACTTTTGGCTCAATAAAAGTAGCTTCTCTACCCAAATTCAGTCCTCTTTTTTCTACCATCCATCATTCGGTCGAACATTTCAGCGTGCAACCCTTATCAACTTTGTAGAGAGTCGTGGATGGTTAGCCCCCCGCTTAACCCCTAACGTGGAGAACCAGGGCATGTTTATTGTCTCGTTTCTATTCCTCGACCAAGCAAGGGTGGTAATACCTGCCAGGGACCGGTAAACTGAACAAAACAATAACTACCTTACATACTATAGATTGTTTACGTTCATACCAGAAGGCATCGTGCGACATTGCAGCCAAGCGTTCCAGCCCCTAGGAGAAGACACTTCGTTTGTGAGATTTTGTCGAGATCTAGCGAGGGCAAGAGTCTCCACTGCATTAACTTAAGGTTCAAGTCCACTGATGAAGAGGCCAATCTGCAAATTAACATCAAGATTCAGACTTGGTCAATTCACTTCATTACAATTTGTGATATCGGATAAGTTGATTACCTTTCAGGGTCCATTGTGGCACTTAGATCCACCATCCTTGGTACAAGCTTCTGACTTTTATTTTTTTCCCAGCCAATACATTTTATTTCTATGACAAAAAGTTGGACAAGGAGGAGGCTAAATTAATGTTACAGTAATAAATAAATAAATAAATAAATAAATAAATAAATAAATAAATAAATAATAAATAAATAACACTTTAGAGGTAGCACCTCCACATACTAGTAGTTCTTAGTCTACCATTCCTGGTTGAATTGGGAATTTAGAAATGTTGGATTTTGAGGAGAAGGGGAAACCAGAGTACCCGGAGAAAACCTTCTCAGACCAAAGGAGAGAACCAACAACAAACTCAACCCACATGTCGCTTCGACGTCTAGAACTGAACCCAGGCCACGCTGGTAGAAGGCAAGTGTTCTCACCACTACGCCACCATTGCCTCCCTAATGATGGTTGTTGGTGGTAATCTCTTGAAAAAATTCATCAGGCTAGTACAGTTAATCTCTCTTTAAATGTTCTAAAAACAAAGCCAAAGTCTTAAAGTCTTAATGATGCGGACAGTTTCGATGACTGTCAGCCATCTTTGTCAAAACTTGGACATCGTCAAAGGTGTCAGAAGCCTTAAATAGGCTTCTGAAGGTGTTAATTATTGCGATAAACGCGCCAAGTCATTCTGTAGACGCCCCCTCCCCTGGTTTGGGGGTGGAAAATTCTTGTGACCATATGGGAGAAAGCTGATAGGCTCTCTCGTCCGTGTTCATAGTAGGAGTGTTCGATCTAATGCATATGCTTTCCTTGATCCATCTCTTAAACTTGTCGCTTTCCTGCTCAACTTTTTGACTTGCTTCCCAATTCACAATATGATTGTTCTGACAGACGTGGTCTGTTATTGCTGATTTATGGTGCTCATTGGTAGAAGCTCTGCGGGTGGATCTTGTGAAATTTCTGTCAGAGATATTTTCTGCTTCCTTTCTGTGTTCTGTGATCCTGGTTCTCAGCTGTCTCCCTGTTTCACCGACGTATACCTTTTTGCATTGGTTGCATGGAATTTTGACAAAGATGGCTGGCAGTTATCGAAACTGTCTGCATCATTAAGACTTTGGCTATGTTTTGAGAACATTTAAAGAGATGTTGGTTGTAATGGAGATAGAGAAGAAATTCATACACCTGTAATTAGCACTAACAAAACCACTTAGAAGTAGATTTTGACTGGAACAAATACAAGGAGATTTAAAGTGCGGCTTAAACGTATGCAGTGACACCCTCTTCAGACAGAATGGTTGCATGCAAGTAAGTCACTGTCACGCCATCATCAAAAATAATATATATATATATATAATATAAATATTGGAAGTAGGAAAAAAACGTATCGAGCACTCTACTACGGAAAAATCGAAACACAGACTTCCCATATATATAATATATATTCAGTTAGATGTTCACCGGCGAAGCCAAGACAGTGCTCTACTTGCAGTGAAGGAGCGGAATAGACCAGTAGGTGAACTACTCAAACCCTGAGTGCATCAGTGTTTAATACAAGCCTGTTTCGTAGGCCACCGAGAAAGTGACCCACTCTTCAGTTAAACTTCATTATAACACTGAAGCGTCAGGGTCTACATCAAGAAAGGTGATCGCGTGATAAAAACGGTTACATATAACGTTTGAAATTTAAATTTTTAAGAAATTTTAGAATGAAAAGCGCGCGCTTGCTCTCAATCGCCTACAACTCTTATACGAAACCTAAGGCGCACGAAAGCTCGCGATACAATCTCTGGCTTTCAGATGTTCGATTGTACCTTAGGATGAACTTGCGTCGATGTCTGCACGTAGAGACAAGTTCGTTGCGCTTGTTCAGTGTTGCCATGTGAGGCCTACAGATTAAAAAGAACTTCTCTGTTGTACATAGATTGCAACGTTTTGTAAGGTTGGTGTTAGATTTTGCTTTGTCGAGTATTTTCCACGTGATATTGAATTCCTTATTTGCCTCCTTTAGCTGCCACAGGTGCTTCCGAAAATTCTAGGTCACCTTTTTAGGGTAAAAATCCGTTAAAAATGGGCAATTATACCATTTTTGGGGGGGGGTTCGAAAATCCTAGGAGAGGCACGCAAGCAAGACATTTAACAACAAATGTTCCGAAAATTCTAGATCTCAATTCGTCTTCCGAACAGATATTTTCCAAAAACTGTCGTTGGGTGCCCCTGACAATTTCGCATATGCGAGATTTTCAGGGAAATGATTTACCTAAATTTATAGAGTTTTCTATGGAGAAGCCATGTTGTTGTCCCTCTGAGACCGACATGGTGGCCGGAAACCAAAAGAAACTTTTGTCATTGAGCTTAGCTACAAAAGCGTGACTTCGTCGCATGAGAAACTCATAAACATTAAATACTTTTTCTGATACAAGTTCTGCTCAGATAGCAAAATCCCGCAAGATAAGTCACCTTGTTAACCTCCATGACAGCTCCCTTAACCGCAATATAAATGCCGCGTCATGCGAAAGCGTAGAAATTTAAGTGTACTCTATCACAAAAAGAACAACCCCTTTTAAAGCAAACATTTGTAAAAATATAAGACTTAAGCTGCTTTAATAGTTCATTAACGTAAAAACGCAGGGAAATTGGTCATTCTTTCGATTGAATTTTGGTGATATCATGTAAAAACCAGTCTACATTAGTACATTACACGACATGTGTGTATTGCAAGCATTGTTCCCAACACCATTATCATCTTTATTTACCAGCTTTTGTGTATGATGGTAGATTGACATTTAAAACCAAGCTATGAGAAGTGTCTCTTTTGCCAGATCTCACTTGATCACGCCAGCAAAGAATCTTGACACTTGTAACCAAGGAGCCCCTGCAACAGAATGATGCGATACTGCAGTACATAATAGTGCTGCTACAGCCATGTTGTTTACGATTTAAAACTTCACTTTCCACGCACAATAAGTCTAAACTTCGGCAGTTTTATCAAATGAGTTATCAAAGTTAATTAACGACTGAAAAAGATAGACTGCGAGCAGTCTCTCTTTTTCTTCAGATTTAGTGAGGGGAGTGCACGTACGACTAATTTACAGGTAATTTGGGAAACAAAACAACACAACTACTAATAAGAATACAAGTAGCTAATAATCTTTGACGAAATCGCTCTTTACTGATTCCTTGAAGTTTGAAATAGAGAAGGTTTTCAAATTTTCACTAACTCAGTTCCATACTTTGAGGCCCTTGAATCTTATGTTGAATATTCCATAATTTGTTCTTACTTCAGGTAAAGTATAGAACATATTCGAGGCACTTCTTGTATTACAGTTGTCTTTTATTGAGTTGTGTGAAGACAGTATCAAACACAGATGGTGGACGTGTATTGTGAAATTTATACATAAAGACTGCAATATTAAGAAAGACAAGGTCAGGCATGCGCAGTTTAACAATATTTAAGTGTTTTGAAATTGGACAAGAATGCTCATGAAATTAAGAGAAAGTCATCACTCGCATTGCTCTCTTTTGTAAAATGAACAAAGGCTGGGTAGTTGAAGAATAGGTGTTACCCTTAAGAAGGGATATATTAAGGCATAATGTAGTTTAACCAGCAGACCTGAATTCACATAATAACGAAGTTTAGAAAGAATCCCAATATTGCGCTTAATCGTTTTAGCAATATAGCTAACTTGCCTTTTTATGATAAATTAGAATCTATTATTATACCTAGATATTATACTGAGTACTCTTGGTTTAAGTTTATGCCATTTAAAGAGAGAGTGACATGAAAGGGTAACTTTCTTTGTGGTGGGTGGAAAATGAGGCAAAGTTTGACTTATCAGTATTAAGAGAAAGTTTGTTAGCACTCAACCAAGTATGAATATTTACTCGTTCATTTTTTACTTTGGATTTAAGGCCTTTTTGTGTTTATAAATAGATTGACATCATCTGTAAATAAATGAAAATCTAGAATTTCAGAGCAGTTACTAAAAACATTGATATATACAAGAGATAATAGTGGGCCAAGAACTAAGCCTTGAGGAACATCACAAGAAACTGGTTGAAGTTCAGACTCAGTTTTCCCCAAGGAAATATATTGATAGCTGTTGGTAAGATGAGAGGTGAACCAACCTTTGGTTACATCATGAATGTAATAATAATCAATTTTTTCAATCGAGATTTATGATTTACAGTATCAAAGGCTTTACTGAAATCCAAAAATATACCACAAGAAAATTCCTGGCACTCAATTGCATGTTGAATCAAGTCAATGATGCCTAGGATAGCATGATCCGTGGAGTGTTTCGCACGGAAGCCAAAACTATTTCCTTCTCCAAAAATTCTAGTATTCTCTTAAACATTAACGTTTCTAACAGTTTGTTGAATATTGAGAGAACAGAAATAGGACGATAATTATTTAAACTTGTTTGCCCTCCCTTTTTAAAAAACAGAGGTAACTTTAGCTATTTTAAATAAATCTGGGACAATTCCAGTAGAAAAGGAAGCACTGAATATAATTTCTAGAGGTGCAGATATAACATGTTTGGTAGCTTTAAAATAACAACTGGTTTGCTGTAAGGCCCAGTGGACTTGTTAGCATTTAGCCCAATAATGTAAAATTCAATTTCACCTGTTGTTGTGAAAAATAGAAAGAAACTATCTTGGGATGGAGCTGTGAGATACTGAAGTGGGGATTTATTACATTAGGAATATTCTTTGTCAAGTTATTTCCTAATTTTGTAGTGCAAAGCAGAAAAGCATTTCTCAGAAAAATATTCATTTATATAATGATTATCATGAAATTCATGAGAATTATATATAGTACTGAAAATTCAGATCATGGGGTAAGTAGAGATCAACATCAGAGCTAGCAAGATGGTCAATACTAGTAGGGGGGGAGGTAATCTCAAGAACAAGCAAATACGCAAAGTCTGTCCCGTTAAACGTCAACAACATTATTGTTTTTACACCTAAGGGAAAGACAATTCATGACTATGGTGGTATCATTACTTGAGCGTAGGACATTTCTTCGCCTGTTTTGTGCAAGGCTTTAGCATTGGTGATCTGGATTACCTTGCTACCTTCATGTTGATCCTTGTTGCTTTGAGTAAGACTTTCATTATACAGATTCTATTCTCCTTGGCAATGCCTAAGTCTTGCTTGAGGACCTTCCTGGCTCGATAAAGTTTCTCACGAACATCCCGGCTCGTAAACTTTACAATGATGGCAGGTGGGACCAGAGCTCTTTCTCCGTTCGCTTTCACTTTACTCGGAAGACTATGGCTCGTTGATATATCCTCTTTTTTCAGGTCAATTCCAATCTTTCGACCTAGCTCAACAACAATTTTGTTTGTATCTTCCCGCATGCCACTAGAATTCTTTGGAATACCCCGAATTTCCAAGCAGTCTCGTCTCGAGTATTGTTCAAGTTCGTAAATTAATGATTCTTTTAAATCTTTTAACTGGTTTGTAAGAAAAAAGAGAGACTGCTCGTCGGTAGTCTATGGAAAAGATTGAAAAACTGATCTCTCTCAAGTGCATGCTAGCCCTTTGTCAGAGCTCTAGTAATGGAAGGGTCATAAATATAGTGCTATTTTAGCCACAAGTGAGGCTCCGAATGTCAACTTTTCATCGTTAACTAGAATTCTGCATCAATAAAATTCAAGTTACCCTGTCATTGGTAATCAGTGTATATATCTCGCTAATGTAAAGTAAAACTCACAGCAACAGTCCTTAAACTAACAATATCAAATCAAGCTAAAACTAAAGATAGTTAAAACACCTTAAAGGATTAATCATATAATGAGTGAGATGGAGAAAATGGTTGGGTGTCACCTAAGTCACACTGGGCAAAAACTGAATTTAAAACACTCAAACAGTTCATCCTCCATGGTTTTAAGGTGTTCATGCATCTTTAAAAGAACACGTTTGATTTCTTAGTCAACAATTTGAACTTGAACTGACCACTGATGAACAAGCAAGGCAAGAAAGTTTCTGAGAGGCCAGCCTGGATGTTGGGGCATTGTACAAGGATCAGCAAATCCTACCATAATCTGTAGAGCACAAATTAGATTGAAATAAGTAACCTATGGTTAAGTGACTTTCTGTATATGCTGTGATTTTTTGGGGGGGGTTAATGACAATCAAAACGTATTTAGATAACATTCACATCTATGGAAAATTTTGTTTTTTTGCCTAAATGGATAGGAAACACCTACAAATTCCTATTTTGTAGTTAGGAGCAGGAATTCCAAGGCAAGATAGCTGACTATTGTGTTTTTTGCCTGGCCTGTTTGAATGACGCCAAACACGCTCATTTCGCCGTGGATTAGAAGAATTGTTTCTGGGACAAGTTGAACATATGAGTTGTATTAAAACATTAAGACTGATGACATCGAAAGTGGTACAAAGCATGTGTCAATAACATGGCTGTTTGAGAGGTGTGAGGTTTAAATTAACTAACTGTGACTGATGGTAGAATAGTTATTTTTCTACTAGACTTTCTCCTCCCGGCGGCTCCTGCTGGGTATTCCAATACTGTAATGATTCGATTTAGCGCCCTCCTTTCAATAAGTGCCCCCCCCCCCCCCCCTCCCAGAACCCCCCCCCCTCCAAGGGGTGTTTTTTTATATCCCCCCCCCCCCTTCTCTCCCCCCCAACCCTCTTACTTTAAAATTATAATACGGGGAGGTTGCAACCCAACTTTCTTTTCTCTTTATTTTTCTCATACCACACTAACAAAAAAATGTATTCTTTTTTCTTTTTCCCTTAACAAAGTTGTAAAAAGAGTGTGTCAATAAACTGGCTGTTTGAGGGGTGTGAGGTTTAAATTAACTAACTGTGACTGGTGGTAGAATTGTTATTTTTTTACTAGACTTTCTCCTCCCGGCGGCTCCTGCTGGGTTTTCCACTACTGTAATGATTCGATTTAGCGCCCTCCTTTCAATAAGTGCCCCCCCCCCCCCTTTCGAATAAGCGCCCCTCTTCAAAGGTGTTTTTGTTAATAAGCGCCCCCATTCTGCTAAGCGCCTCAAGTCTTATACTATAATATTAGAGTACGGGTACGTGTCAACTGAAGTTCATCTTCCTTTAATTTCTCACAAACGAACAGTACAAAACAGTGATTTCGTCTGAGTTTCTCACGTTACCTGAACATTCACCGTATATTTGTTACTGATACAGTTTCTGTTATTGTCCCTTTTTCTGTTTTGAACATTCAGTTGTTTCTCAAAAAAGAAATAAGTGCCCAGTCTCGAACAGGTGCCCTCCCTTGAGGTAACAAAAGTAAATAAGCACCCCGGGCGCTCAATCGAACCATTACGGCAAATAACAATAAAAAAATAGGAACTGCACTTTCCTTTTTCCTTTCCTCAGTCGCCCTATAACACAAAAGGGTCTCTGTGATGGCGAGAGATTTATTAAACAGAATAACTCAGAGTGAAAAACTCTTGTAGAAATTGAGGTTTTTAAACCTTTACCTCTGAGTCACCTTCTTGAAAAAATTCCTTCCATTCTTTTATATGAGCCATAGAAATGTCACCTTCAGAAACTTTCACAAGAAAAAACCCAGGGCCTGTTGAAAGAATGCACATGTAAATCACAGTTCAACAGAATGTCGAACAAATGATCGACCCACTTCTAACAAAACTATTAAAAATCTTCCACTGTTTAGGTACATATTATATTGGACACTAGATAAATGATGCACAATGCATCCTCTCCCTAAAATCATTTCTCATGCATGTGCCACGCAGGCCAACTACACACATTTGTGCTAAATTACATCAAAAAATCAATGTTTTAAAATGTACTTACTAGAGCCATCAATATTAAGTAGGGAATCATAGGATGATTGAAGCTTTGAAATCTACCGAGAAAAAGGAAAATAGATCATTAAAACTAAACCTTAACTTTCCATGAAGTTTTTCTATGCTATCCTAGGAAACTTTATGCAGTCAACTCCCTTTATTACGGACACTGTAGGTACCTCGAGAGTCTGTAATGGCCGGAGTATATTTAAGTCAAATGTCTGTAATTTATTTCTGCCAGGGATTTAGCTGCAGTCTGTATTATCGGGGCGTCCTTTACAGCGAGGTGTCCGCAGGGCAAGAGTTGGCTGTACATGTATGAGACACCTAGTCTCCTAGACAAAATTACTAAGAGAATCACCTTCAAGGTATAGACCTTGTCACGGTTTTCGACGCCATCTCGACGAGTAGGCAAACACGTCAGAAATTACAGTGTTTGTATGAGAATCTAATGTCGAATAATTTCCGTTGAATGGCGCTTCTAAAAAAAAAATGAATTGTAAACTAAAGCTTCACTCCTAAAGAATCTACTCAAAAAAATTGCGGGGGTTAGATGCGCTTGAAGACTTAGAACCACGTTTTAAAATTTTCTATACATTTGTCTGTAAGGAAGTCCCGGGAAAAATTAGAGACAAATGTATGGAAAATCTAAAGCAAGCCTCTGGAGAAATTTAAGCACAAGTACGCCCAAAAAAATTTTTAAGTATAATCCTTTGTTTTGTAGCTTTAGTTTACAAGTCATATTTTTTTCAGAACGGCCATTTTACGGAAATCATTCGACATTAGATTCTCATACAAACACTGTAATTTCTCACACGTTTGCCTACTTGTCAAGATGGCGTCGAAAACTGTGACAAGGTCTATTCAGTCACCATGTTATTCACCAATGTACGCTCACCAATGTAGCTATGAATATGTATGCACACAAGCATGCAAACATACATAGTCACATTTCATTTGTATGACAAAGGAGAATATAATGAGAAGCTAAAAGGTTGATGTGAACCTGCAACAAAACCACTGTAAACAATGTGTGAGATTAGAAGATAATAATATTACAGGATACAAAGTTACAAATAAAACTAAGAAGTTTAATTTCAGAGGTACCTGTGATTTGGTGAAGTAATCAGCAAGCAAGATGGGAGATGTCACACTGGTAGCATTAACATCAGGACACAGGGCAGGGAAAGCAAACCAATAGTAAAATTTGTACTTCTTGAGGTCCTTATCACAGATACCAACAAAACAAAACAAAAAAAACATATTAAACTGTTGCAAGACAAGCTAGTGTACAAGTTAAAAAGGTTCATTTACATTCTCAAATAAACACAGGGGAAGTTTAGTCGGGGCTCTGTGACATGGTTTGATTGAGGTTTCTGCGTCTATTTGCAGTCAAGGTCACAAGGAACGGTTACAAGTAAATATAATCTCTTGAACAGCACTGTTAGGGCATACCAATTACAACCTACCTACATTTTGTGGAGATCAGTATCCTCAATCATTAATCATTTCTCACTTGCATGCTTGCTAGAGTGAAATTTGCGGCTCAGGATGATTGACACTTTGATAATATACCTCCGATGCTTTGATTGGATAAGTGCAGTGTCAAGGAAGGTTTTGACCTTACTTGAGAGCGCACTTTAGCACTTTGAGGTTTTGAAGTTTCTGTGGCAACTAAGTACGAATAGTCAAGATCAGTCAAGTCAAACAGGACCTGTTCACACACAAGTTAGTCTCAAGTGCACTTGAAAAGTCCAGTGTGAACCCACCTATTGTTTTTACAATGCAAATGAATGAGGCCAGGATACCTGGGTAACCACGAATCTTCAGATTGTTTTTAATACCCAAAAAATTCCTTTAAATACAGTGGAACCTTGATATGACAGAGGGCTACAGGACTGGGAAAATATGTTCGCTATAAGAAGGTTTTGTTATACTGAGGTTTTTTTCCATATATTTTTAATTACTGGGGTTAAAAAAAAACAGTTCGTTATACCGAGGACTTTGTTATATAGAGATTCGTTAAATTGAGGTCCCATTGTACTTAAATCAAGCCACCCAAAAAACCTTAAGATTATGTGTTGCATTCCCCTCATGTCAGACACAATTAATTAATTGCTATTGATTTATTTTACCATTTTTGGTAGTTATGGTGGAGTTGATAAAAGAAAGGGTTGGATAGAGTAACTTACTGCAAAGGTTAGAAGTGCAAACTGGCAAAGCAATGATGGATCTTCCACAGCTCTTCCTGAACATATAGCATCCCATATCTGTATCAAAATAGATCTTTTCTAGATAACTACACATTGTCAAGTCTGATCCAAATAAGTTAAAGCCTCAACGAGCTTTGCTTAATATACTCTGAATTTGGCCTAAAAACAATTATTAATTAAACTACCCAAAATGATGTTTATAAGTCACTATGCAGGCCTTTGTTCATAACGCTAAAAAGACCTTTTCTGCACTACACCACATTTAGTCCTTTACGGCACAGGTTTGGTAACTGGGCTGCCTGTGCCCAGTTTATAAAATCAGTTGATTTCTCCGTCAGACAATGAACACTATCAATGATTAACCCAGTAACACAGAGGGCGTTGTGTGATCCATAAAGCACGTTTGTCCATCTTTGCAGATTCCGTTTAAAAATTGATTTCTTTCTCTGACATGCCTCGTTGGAGGTCTAAATCTCGAAAAAAGGAACTTTAAGAACTTTGCACACAAGTTCATCTCATAGTCTCATTGCTTGGCAAGAGGACAAATAAGTGGCAAAGCTTTGAGAACGTAAAGCTTCACCGGGAGCTTTAATTTCAAACGAGAAAGAGAAATAGAGTACTCAGGCAATCAAGTTACTTACTAGTGCAAGGTTTGGTGAGTTGGCATCCTAGAGCTTAAAGTTACCACTTGATAAACTTTGAAAGTTTACAGCTCGCTTAAACAAGCATTCCTTTTTATGTGAATCACCCGTATTTTACTGAAAGTCTATCAAGTATATTCAGGGTTTTAACTATACAAAGGTCAATTTTTGTGCTTCTATTGATCATCTTTATCAGTCTCGCCCGTTTATCTTGATGGGTAATATAGTTGGTTCTTTTCTTCTCAAAAGCTGTTCCCTGTCTGTTCTGGTTAACTTACCACCTTCATGCAGTACCGATAATTCTGTATGGTCTAGGTTGTTGTGAATGGGTTTCCGACAAATTATCACTCTCAATATCGTTGTCTACAGATTTGCTTTAATAGATTTATGGTCTAGGAGTGATTTTTTCTGAGAAGAGGCGGGCAGCTGTACAGTATTATTACATCCCAGTTGAAATCGCCTTTCAGTGAGTCTACATGTAGTTCTTACAAGGCTTGCCATCCATACTAAAGTAAATAAATACAGGTGTAATATTATCTAGATTAGTGTGGATAGAAAATTTTTATCTTCCATTTGGAAATTTACAAGTACTTGTTTTCCAGTTTATTTGAATTTATATAGATCATACCCTTATTAGAGCTCTAGAAGTCCCAGCACGTGCAAAAGGCAAAATTTGTACATAGTTTTTGGACAAAAAGTCATACTGCCCTTGACATTTCCCTTTTGCAGCTCCCTTCTCTGATTCCTTCACTTTTCTTTATTCCCACATTTTCCCTTATTTATTAGGGCATTATCTAGGTTTCTTGTGTCAGTGGGAAACAATTCTCAAAACTGCCTAAGGAATGATCCAAAGCACAAGTAGGTAGTGGAACAAGATTTTCATTTGAATTTTCAGGTCACAATTTCACTATTTTTTCTAGTCTGTATGGCTGAATTGGCTCAGTTTGCTCTCATTCTCCTTCAAAAGTTTAAGGTTCTTTATGAGCACTGAAACCAATGATGCCACAAGTTGTATAAGGGACGTGATTCCACATGGCTGTTATGGAGAATTGGGGTATATACAGTAACATGGTTCATAGTGGTTACCGGTAATGTGACAATCACAATAATTTTCTAGTCCTCTGTCTTGGTTGTAGGCATGAATTGAAGCATTCCTTGCATCATTGAAAGGTTTAAAAAATTGAAGTAAACTTGCAGTATTTGACTGGTGATGGGAAGTTAGGTTTGGTTTGAATCATTGAGAATTTTGAAAAATTGGAGGGTTTAAGAAATCGGGATTAGTCAGTCAGTTTAGTGTGAATAATAATATCTCTTTTTCTTTCAGTGGAGGCGTTTTCAAATTTCTCCCTGAAACATATCATATTAGCCAATGGCACTAAGTAAATCATAGGTCATATAAAATAGAGAGTACCTGTCTTCCAGTTGAATGGATCAACTCCTTTTTATCAAGAGTTCTAAATGCTTCAATGGTGTTGGTATTGATCAAAGTACCTTGCAGTGGAAATGTCTTGAGAGGCACACGCCTGTCCCTGAAAAATGATAACAAATTATCAATAACAGAAATAAGAAAAAGTACTTTGAATAATGTATTATTTGGAGCAATCCAGAAATCAAGTTTGCTTTTATCAGCTCACACTATTAGGAGGGGGTGAAAGGGAATCAAAAATGGACTGAGTTAATGGCCTTGTTGCATAGCCAGTGACCCCTAGATATCTTGAGAAGATCAATCCCTGCTGACCAAATACCAATACATTCATGGTGTTTGATATCAAATGATGATGATGATGACAATGTTCTGCTGATGATGCTGCTGGTGATCATCATCAGGAATGAGTGGAAGAATATGTAAATCAGCACTTGAAAGACCCAGGGATCACAGCTATGTCATATCAAATATACAAAAGTTCATCCAGACCATTATGATTTGAAAAAATGCTGAAGAAATGGTGCGCACTGCTGTTAGTAGCTCTAGTAGGCCAATTGGCCCTAAAGTCCCATACAGTTCAATCACACAATCAAACTGCTTAGCTGGTCAACCGAACAGTGACTTTGTCACATCTTGGAAAATTACCAGAACAGGCGTGTAAGCATACAGAAGAAGTATTCCCACATTGTCTTTTGTCCTCTAGTTTCTAACAGTTAGCTGTCGGACTGTTAAATGCATCCCTCCAATTAGGAAGGGTTTCTAGATCCTTTTTGGCCATTTTAACAACTGATGATTTGGGGATGCTTGGCTACTCTGCAAATTGAGGGGGTAGGTGATCACATTGTTCATTAAGTGACCCACTGCCAGTGAATTAAAGGTAACCACAATTTGGTTAAAGAGGTAGTCTCATGAGCAGGGCTCAAAGTTTATTTTTGGCTTGGGAGCACTTGTGCTACCAGGTGTAAACTTCTACGGGCACTGCCAAAATTCTAGGTGCACAGCTAAAAATTTGAGGCACCAAAAAAAATCAGAAAGCTCAGAGGTTGTATAAGTAATCATTTATTTGCATGCACGTTATCTTTTATTTTGAACGAATCTGTGTTTGTTCCTACCTTCAGGCTATTACTCTACATTGGAGATAACAATAATACTGTTACGTTTTTTTTTAAATTAACCTTCTCAATCTCAAGAAGTATTACACTTCATGGTACGTTTAAGGCAACAGAAAAATTCCGTATTCATTTCCTTTGAAATGAACGTGAATAACTAAGAAAATATACACTGCCAGTTTACTGCTCACAACTTTCATTTGATTTGCAATACACTTGTAGTTTAAAGCTGATATAGACTTGGATGTAGAACCACGTCGTTAATACAACATTAACTCGATCATACAAAATCCGGTGAGTCCCATGAGTAAGCAACTGAAATTAGTTCATCTGGCCACCTTCTGTAAGTAAGGTTGGGACGCCTTGGTCTCTTACCACTGCTAAACCACTTGACAACTGTTGGAGTTGGGTCAAAAGATTGTAATTCTGGCCCTTCCATACTGATGCAGATTAGGTCTTCTTTTATTCATTGTTTTATTTCAATTGTTCTCACCTTGAAGAAAAAAAGTCTCTTAACCCAGGTTGTTTAGACATTCTTGCCTCTGGCTTGACCTTTCACATCGACCGGTGAACTCGATTGCCAAGAAGCACGTGTTTTTAAAGGTGGTCTTCACTCGCAAGTGTCAGCGGAGTCTTCGAAAAAAACCGAAAAGGGCTGGGATGGAATGGAAACATGGAGCACTCGGAGAACCACAGCGGAAAAAGACAAATAAAACACACGCTGATGCAAGGAAAATGATAACTTTATTGTTTGGAGCCTGATTATGTCATACCTACGATTGAATTTATTATTTCAAGTTTCTGTTTCATGTCTAACCAGTCAGAGTCATCTTAGGATGATCAGGTGAGAAAGCAGAGTTGAGTGGTGATAAGCTCAGTCGTACAAATCTCCAGGATTTTTAGGCGCGCAAGTGCAATCACACATGAATTTTTAGGCACACAATTAAGAATCTAGTTGCATGTGCGACCAGCTGGTCGCTAACTTTGAGCCCTGATGAGCTGCGCATTCTTGGGAAATTGCTGTCAACACACGACTTGCCAGTTCCAGGCATTCAGATAGTGGAGTACTGCGTGAAGTAAGAAAGCGGGAAAAAATATTAGGAGAGAGAGGGGGAGAGGGAGAGACCTACATGTAGAGGAGGGAACAGCAACATGACCTTCACTACCCGCCCAAATGCTGCTTGTTCCAACACGTCTTCTTTCTCTAGCAGGTACATTATGCTCTTGAGGGTTTTAAAGTTTTGACTGAGATAATATGTGATTTTTGCCACTTGTTTCACACTGAGAGGTCATGGCACGCATATTGAGTTTCTTCTCTGGTGTTTGTTTATTGTGAGCAGGATTTGCCCTCTGATGCAAGGGCATTTTCTTTTTAAACGTAAAGCTCTCTATTGTGGCTAAATAAGGGTTTTGCTTTGTTTAATTTTCTTTAAAGTGCCTTCTAGATCTGAATAACCAATTGATTTTCCTATGTCCGTGAATGTGATAGTTTCCTGCAATGTTTTGTCATCCTGGACCCAGCTCATTAGTGTCCTTTGCAGGATGTTAAATTTCACAGGTACACTCTCTTTTTTAAATAAGAATGTTGTTTTTCCTGTCCATGCTGAATATCCTTACTTTTCTGCCGATTTTAGGCTGAAATATTAAAAAAATGTACAAGAATGAGAATACAGTGATACCCCGTTAATACGGTCACCAACGGGCCAAAAAAATTTGGCCTTATTAACAGGTGGCCGTATTAACGAGGATTTTTTACAAGAAAATGTATGGCCATTTTGCCACGCGGCCAACAAAGGTGGCCGTAATAACAAGGTGACCGTATCAAGGAGGCCGTAAGACGGGGTTCACTGTATGCAAATGTGCTGGGTAATTACGATTGCTGGAACCTTCATATCCTGCCACTAATTTCACAAGAAGCCACAACTGAAATATCTTATCTTCTAAATCCAACCTTTTTTATACTGCTTCAGATCAGAGATTGTCCTCTTGCAACCCAAATTTTATCTTTTACCACTATGGCCAGCTCCACCACTTGTGACCGCCATTTTGTTTTTGCCAGATCAATCTTGAAAAATTCTGCATTGCACTTCGACTCACACATGCACAGTTCATGAGATTTACCCTTTAATTCTTTCCGGAGTTCCTTTATGGTAGGGACCAAACAGATACGCAAATTCTAACAAAGTGGGGGTGTCATTCCTGGCTTGCATTTTGCTAAAAAGATGTTCAACAATCAAGGAAAGCAGCGAAAAAGGTTTGACAAGCTTGAGGAATAGAGGGTTGATCTCCATTTAGGCTGTTTCGGTACTGGGCTCAAGTTCAGGAATATCAGAGATGTGAGGGTAAATTCTAACAAGTGGCATGGCCCAAAAAGTAGCAACAGAGCTTAAAGAATCTCACCCACCGAGTTTGCATTGCGAACTCATGCTCTTCATTTGCCATTTTCAGGGCCCCCGAAAATTGAAGTTATTTCACCTTGAGGCTTTATTAAGGTCCTGTTTCCTCTGGAATTCTTTCTATAGTTTCTGAACTATCTTTGTGATTCACATTCGTGAAAGAAAATTTTTTCCAAGGGCAATGTGTAGTTGGTTTCCTGTCACACTTCGTAGAAAAGGCGGCCAATATGGCGGACAGCCACCCAGCTAGGGGCGGTCTAAGGAGGCCAGAAGGCATCAAATGCCCAAAACTTAGGGAATACACCTACAATCTATGGATTTAACAGAAGGAGGCCCTTGGGCTACACGTAATCACCAATAAGATTTTGTGGGGATACTTCTGCACCAAGAACTTACACAAGAGTGTGATTGATCTCCTCACGTGTATCCGGATGATACTTCACCTAGCTACAAGGTACGACCTCCCCTGGTCAAATGACAACAGTGACAACAAAACTGAGAATTAGCATCAAAGAAGGGTGGCTTAGCCAATTTTGTCACCAATTTGAATCCAAATAGTAGTCAATTGTGTCAATTTTCTTGAGATTCAGAAAAAGACTTAAGGCCTCGCATTACACTTCATTTATCAGATTTACAGAGTCCCATGCCCACACAACTCCGGGGAGACCTGGGAACAATCTTGTCACTCACCTATTTATGTATGCATGCTTCATGTGACCTTACATTTCCCTCACTTGATTGTCTGAACATAAAGTGCATGAGATTCTGAGACGTCTTCAGACAACTTTGTTGACCTCAATCTTGTACCCAGAGGCTTTTTGGTCAGTGGGGCAACGCATTGCCCCGCTGACCAGAAAGCCTGAAGACTCTGGGTATAAGATTGTATTGACCTCCTTCAGATATTGACAATATGTTGTTGAAATGGGAAAGATGTGAAAGCATAAACATAAGAGTCTTAAACATCATACAAGAGTGACCACAAAGAAGACAAGAGATCCAGAAACTGCAAAACAATGTACAAATTCTTAGAGCAAATAAATTTGCTTTATCGCAGTTTTGGCATACACTTGAAGGGTTCTCCCTCCCAACACCATTTCCTAGATGAGGTTATCAAAGCTTTACGGAGTGAATCTCCTATTTTTGCACCAGCTGGATAGCAGGCATTCAGTCCTGCACTGAAAAGAGAGGGGTTGTTCAAGGTCCAGAGAGTATAATTTCCACAGCTATTTCCTCACAAACTAGAGATTTGAAGATGATGTTACACTCGGTAAAAGAGCTAAAACATATGTCCAGGAGTGAACTCTGTTAAAAAATTTGCAAAAATCGCAAATTTTGCAACAGTGCTTCAAAAATTATGAAAACTAGGAAAATTGCAAAAAATAACAAAAATTATGAAATTTTGCCAGGCCATTAATTTTCACTGTTATATTTCCTCAGCACTTTTCATTAGTGGCCTAGCAGAATTTCGTAATTTTTGTTATTTTAGCAATTTTTTTAGTTTTTGTAACTTTTGCTGTTTCGTTGAGGGACTTCCTCAGCCTCAATTACATTCCCTCGTCCCTTTTGTAAATAGACTAGAAAAATTTCGTTGTTTTTGCAATTTTGAAAGCACTGTTGTAAAATTTTGCAAATTTTGTAACTTTCGTATTAATCCTGGACATATCTCACCAGCCCCCCACCTCCACTTTTCTAGATGAATTTTTATTTTATTTTAGTATGAGGTACATGTGAGGAGTATTGTTTTATTGTTTTATTTGCCAAAAATTATACAAATCAAATAAAATCTAATTACTTAAACTCTCATTGCGAGGAAGCCCAAGAGAAGCCACCGGGCTTATAAGGAAAAAGGTCAGGTAAAAAGTTGCTTTACCGGAGACTAGCACAAAGGAATCACAGTGTGCACACGTGTTCTTTAGTGGTATCATTCTACAACATTCTCAGATCGATGGATAACTTTGCTTTATTTTGTGACGAGATTTTACAAGAAATTGACAATTTGCTTGTAGAAAACTTTTCGTGTTTACATGTTTTAACATTTTCCCAGTGTGCGCTTCCTTCCCAGCACATGAAGAGCTTGAATAAAAATGCAGGCCAGTGTACTAAAGGCGGGTATATGGAAGGCTAAGAAATATATGTATCAAGTTTACAAAACCTGCATGATATTGCTGTAAGCACTAGAAGTTCCTGTCATTTTACAATTTATCCAGAGTTTTTTAAAAGAAATATCTCACGCCATTTCTGAGCCTCTAGAGGATGCTCCAAGACCCCCCTACAAACACGCATCTGAGGCATTTGTTTTCAAGACCCCCCCATCCCCCCGCTCCTCCCACTCTCAAATATGCTCTGCTGTCCCTGCTTATGTTAGCCATTTATGTATATTGTAATTCCTTCCGGCCTGCGTTTGTGCTGGGAATTTAGCTTTGTTCAACAATTTTTTTTCTTTCTTTTTTCACCGCAATAAATTTAGACTTTGCAGACTTTGTGGTTACCCAATTGTCCCTTGCAGGCTAAGGACCATGTGCTTTTTGGTGAAGAAAGGAGACTGCCCTTTTTTTGCCTGTTATGTATTTTGTCAAGTTTATTAAGGATGGTATTTCATGTTCAACCAGTACAAGCAACAATGAAAGACTGATTACTTTGTGAGTTGGGCATTGCTGTTAACTTTTTGAATGTAAAGGTAAACAAGTTAAATATTTTAGAACATTTGTTAGTCACGACACGTTTTTCTGCTTCACTACACTGCAGTTCAAGTTTCATGTCAATAATACTAAGTTGAAAGGAGTGAATAGTCTGCTATTTGTTCTGCTAGAACCATCACAGTGCTCTGTCATCGAGATAAAGAGACTACATGTACAAGAAAGAGGTCACGCCACTACTTCTTGCCTCGCTTGCCTGTTTTCCCTTGTTTTAGGCCTTGTGAGTTACCTTGTTATTAAAGCTTTAGTTGCCTTATGTATCATGTCATTATTGATCAACCGATCCTTTTTCTTCTGGCAAAAGGTTCCAACTGAGCATGGTGGAGTGGTGTCAATTTAATTGTACTTTTTTTCTTTCATTGTACCAAATAGGAAGGTGGAATACTTGGCAAGTATCCTACTGTGGCAATTATCACAGGTTGTTAACAACCTTGCACAGCTGCTAAACAGTTCTGTGAGTGGACAGTGAAATAGAAAGAGGAGATGAATGGAGAGCTTTATGCACAATGCAAGCATGCACAATTTAATATATCAAGCACATGTCTACAGTAGAAGTCACAATAATAATATTTAAGGGAAGCTTGGAATAACACGACAATGAAAATTAGTATGATAATGATTATGATAATCATTATAAGTTAACTTAAAAGGATAAATACAGGGTTTAAAGAACTCACGTGGAAAAAGCATGATAATCCAAATTGAAACGACATGGAAGACCAGCGGGATCACCTACATGTAGGAAAAAGAGAAAATTTATTTCAATGCAAGTTTAATAGCTCAAAGCTATTTAATACACGGATACAAGAATAGACTGTTCACAGTCCAATATTTTTCCAAACAGTAGTCGAGATCGAGTGCTTTGCATTATGGGCAGCTATCTCGGATGAGTGTCTAAACTACTTAGGGGGCAGGGGACAGTTTGGGAGGAGGTGAGAAAAATAGAGGGACTATCCTAACATCACTGCAGCATGCATTCAGGGGGTGTGACAGGAATTTCATGCCTTTTACCATTCATTAATTAAGAAACTCCACTTGGGATGAAAAACAAGCGAGACACTTTTAGCATAGATTTTGCGTGTTTGTAAACACAAACATCTCCTTTTGGAACAGTGATTTTATATAATACAGTTACTACATATAAGACATTCTTCCAAATAAAATAGGCTAACATGCACAGTTGAAACATTATTTTTCCTAATTGAAGCAGCAAGCATGCTTGCTTCATCACAAATTAAAGTGGTTAAACCTCCAGATAAAAAGCCATACATTTCTGACATGGGTCGTCTTTCTCCGTCTTTAAGCTTTAATTTCAATTTCTTCGGCAGAAACTGTGTTACAACATTTTCTTGGCTGGGCTGTTTCAAAAGCATGATAGCTTACGTATATTGATGGCAAGCACAATCTAGTTTTCCTTGCAGATCAGCCACATATAAGTTAAAAATGAGTGGACCTATGATTGAGCCTTGTGGGACTCCAAAGTTAATGCTAATAGGTTTTGAAATATGGTCATCAATTTGAACAAAGTGCTCTCTTCCACAGAGGTAGTTGACTGTCCATTAAAGCTTTGACTTTGAGAAACCAAAAGCATTCATTTTCTCAAAGACAGACCTATATTTTACAGTGTCAAANTGACATGGGTCGTCTTTCTCCGTCTTTAAGCTTTAATTTCAATTTCTTCGGCAGAAACTGTGTTACAACATTTTCTTGGCTGGGCTGTTTCAAAAGCATGATAGCTTACGTATATTGATGGCAAGCACAATCTAGTTTTCCTTGCAGATCAGCCACATATAAGTTAAAAATGAGTGGACCTATGATTGAGCCTTGTGGGACTCCAAAGTTAATGCTAATAGGTTTTGAAATATGGTCATCAATTTGAACAAAGTGCTCTCTTCCACAGAGGTAGTTGACTGTCCATTAAAGCTTTGACTTTGAGAAACCAAAAGCATTCATTTTCTCAAAGACAGACCTATATTTTACAGTGTCAAATGCCTTCGAGAAGTCGGCAAAGACAAGCAGAGTACATTCCCTCAGGTTCATTGCTTTCAATATGTCATCAGGTATGCTGAATAAAACAGATGTGAACCAGATGTAGTAGAATGACCTTTCCTAAATCCAGGAGTGTCATCCCTCTTTCATAAAATGTCAATAAGAGTCTGCCCTGCTTAATGCCAATCAGAAATTCATTCCTTCCCCAGTTTTGTCAGCCCAAAATGATGAAGATCCAAAAAAACACAAAAGTTTAAGTTGGGCAAACAGATATTATGAAAGCATTTTATAGAAAAGGCGACTTGTCAGTGCCAGCAGCTTAAACTAAACCTGTTGTTGAATGCAAATTAACATCTATTGTCCAAAGACCTATCAAACACCCACATTGCTGATACAACATGCTCCGTGAATTCAAGCTGTAGTGACTTTAGGACAGTCCCTCTATTTTTCTTGCCTCCCTCCCCAAACCGTTCTACACCACCGATGCCTGCCCTCTCGGTACACAATGATCTTTAAGCGAAAGAAAAGGGGACTGTAAAAAGTCTAATGCAAGTGTCAAATTAAAGTTCCTTTGAATCAATGATACAAAATTGGCTACCTTCAAAAAATATATTTTATAGTTTATAGTGTGAAACATTTGAACTGAAACAGAATGCAATAACTATTTCACATGGACTAAGTGCTCCCTCAGGTCCTTCAGAATTAGTGTACTGTCGTAAAAACGGAAAATTTTCAGTAACACACTACAGGTGACAGTCACAAAGTACTGTACCCTGCAATCACTTTGCAAAGAAATGGAAACCATACAAACACTGTCGAACATTCAACCTGAGTCCCAGTCCTATGGGCTAGGACTATATATAGGGAAATCCATAATAACATTATGAAGTTCGTCCATTTGTGTTTCCTTTAATTTGACTGCTGCCCATTTACCTGAGCCTGGCAAGGTTTTGCAATAAACAAATTTTTAATTATAAAGTACATTTGTCTGTACTGTATCTTGACTGAAATGACAGCTAAGCTTGCTTATACAGGAGCCTGACCAACAAACACACTATTAACCAATCTTACTTTTGCAACTAACAATGGTTTGCCCCAGGAGGGGGGGGGGGGGACGGGGCAGGCAACCCATGGGAATTTGACTTCATGAAGCGTATCCAGGTAGGGATTTTGACATCCATGACCGTCCCCAGGGTGGGAAATTTGACTCAGCGGCCTCTTGGAAAGTGGAGAAGACCTGGGAAAGAGCAAAAGTCGGTCCGCCATATTGGAAAATACCCAGTAGTTACTTGGATGAGTTTCTTGCTCCAAGACAGTCTTGGATTCTGGATTTTAACTGTGGATTCCAGATTCCAGGTACTGGATTCTAGATTCTTTATCAGTAGAACTTGGATTCCAGATTCCAACCACTGCTGGGTTTCTGGATTCGTTGAGCTGTATTCTGAATTTCAAAGCAAAAAATCCAGATTCGACATGCAAAAGAATTCCTGGATTATGGATTACAAAAGCAAAATTTTCCCAGATTCTGGATTCCCTTACATGGGGTGAAGTTTCCCTCATGCCCATTTTACAACAAAAGGTATTTTGTCCCTCAGCTTTGCGAAGCCATATTCACACAAATATAGCTTATTCATATCAAAATTTGCTTTTGACTTACATGTTTTCACTGGATGCCACCCTGCGACAAGTTTTCGTCAAAGCGAAAGATAAAAAAATCATATGTAGAGACATAAAAATAAGTGTGTTTGTATTAAGATCTTCATGGAAGGAAGGTTTCAGCCAAGGTGAAGTGGACCACCTATTTAGCGCCTTAGTTTTACTGAATTTCACTTATGGTCTGCCTGTTTATGGAGCTGCAGACTCAGATCTCACGGTCATACAAAACTTCCTGGATAGATGCTTTAAAAGGAAATACACATCTAAGAGAATGGACATTCGAGAACTTTTAGAAAAGGCAGATAAGAAGCTTTCCAAGGTATGTTCAGTGGATCCCGATTGCCCGCTCAGTAACATCATTCCCAAGAAGGAAGAAAGAAAGTATCTACTCAGAAACAAAAGTGCTTATTGCCCGGATATAAAGACTGATAGATTTAAGAATGTTTTTGTAAATAGGATTATTTTTAGATATAATCTTTGATCTTTCTATTATTTGCATACAGTATGTCTTATGTATGTTAAGATCCCGGGGGGAGGGGGGCACTTGGGTATTTTTTGGGGTGGGTATGTGCCGCCCGGGACTCGACATTGGCACCCCATTCTGAAAAAAATTCCCCTAAAATTGATACCCCGTTCTAGAAATGGGTCAATTTTTTATACCCTGTTCTAGAATTCGCCCTAAAATTGATACTCCGTTCTAGAAATGGGCCAATTTTTTATACTCCGTTCTAGAAAGTTTGTAAATTGAAATAGCCCTGTTTTTTTTAAAAAGATATGTCTTTATTTGTTCGACTTATACATCAAATTAATGCCTCTTCATAATCAGCAACAAGTAAAAAAATAATTTCAAATGGCTGCTTACAAAACTGAAGTTTTCGTGTGTTCGAAATATTATACCCTGTCCTAGAAAACACCTCTAAAATGGATACCCCGTTCTAAATCAGGAGCTTCAAAACCACGACCGGGTTGGGCAGCACATACCCGTATAGGTAATGTATGGGAGTACCCCCCCCCCCCCAGGGTTTAGATTCCCAACTGCTGATGTAACTTAAGATAAGTCTTTTTATCTTAGGAGAATAAAGATTGATTGATTGATTGATATAATAGTCCTGTAATTCTGAGTTAGATTTGTTACTATACTCAAAATGCCAAATGAAATGAAATTCTGGACCTCAGTTACATCAGCCCTTAGACATTAACCCCTCTTGATGATGACATGTTCTGCACATTTTTGCATTGCTGTACACTGTGTGAAACAATTCACAGGTATTTTAGAAGTATAGAATTTGTGTTAAATTGCCAACCATGCAAAATATCTAGCTACCATTATTTTGTCACCAAGTAACTACTCTCTGGCGATGCTGAGTGCTACAATTAAGTGTTGTGAATGTCTATTAGTTCGTTGACATTATTATGAAATTATTATGGTCCCCAGAGGTGCCAGGGAAATTCATTCCTAATGAAGACCCTTGGAAGGATGGGGAAATTGACATTTGAAATCCTCGGGCAAACTATTGATAGGTGCATTTAATGTGTGCTCGTCTTAGCTATCATTACTTTTGAGATATAGGATAAAATGTACTTAATATTAGATATATTTTTTTCAAAATTACGTGTTTAAAAATAATTTGAACTGCTGCAAAAGCTCCCCTTACTGTTTACGTAATATCCTTGGAGAGGTTTCGGTTTATCATCTAACTGGTATACTTCCAGCTTGTTCTGAGTAAGTCTGTGCCAAAAGGCTGCGTCAACAGCGCTTGAAAAAGGTACAAATTGTAAGGCATTTTGGCCGCCAGACACAGCCGCCATGTTGAACCAGTGAGACGTCTATGTGCTATGTCATGTAAAATCACTAAATTATGTCTCATCTGATCATATCCTCCTCGCACACACAAATTGGGAAACACGAAACTTTATATTTCGAAATCGTTGTTTTTTAAAGACGTTTAGTTTTTTTTGGATCGAAAAAGAGGAATTCTTAAATAGCGGAAATAATTGAAGGTTTCATAGCTTTTCTGCATATATAGTCCTCAATCACCATATGAATTTTCTCGGAATAAAACATTGTCAATTACCGAAGGACATGCATAAGTTACTTTTTAAAAGCATTATAGTACTATGATATTGAATATCGAGAGAATAACAAAATACTTATTTTCCTACCATTATGAAAACTTATTTTCCTATTTTGGGAGACCCTTGTCACGCTCCACTAACCAATCACACGAGGCGTTTGGTCACGGGGTTTTCGTCATGTCTAATTCTTTTCATTCCTGAGCACAAATCCATGTTTGTTTCTATTTATTTTATGGAAGTGGCTGAAATAAGCTCTTAGGGGCAAGGATTTTATCACTGTCCCCTCCACCGGACAGAGAAAGAGAACTATGGTCGGTACAGTAGGCTTTTCTTGTCATATTTTCGGTTTTCAGAGTCTTGTTCATTGTGCGGGGACTTGTGTGTGTTCAGTTTACAGATCTGATTTAGTTCTGTTTTTTTCCAGATAATGGAGACTCCTCTGGATGTACTATCAAGAGCAGCATCTTTAGTACAGCCAGACACCAGAGAAAGTAAGTCCCGATGTGTCTGGATGCTATTTCTTCTACGAAGTTTATGCATTTGCAGTAAGAGGGAAACTTTCGATCATTCTTAATAATTTTCACGCAGAGATACTCGCACTAAACGCGCGCACATTTTCTTTGATTGAAGTATTTTTTCTTTGTGCTCTTTACTTAGGATATGAAAGTAGTAACTTTTCCATTTATTGACGCAACTCACACAACCTTGAAGAATTATGTGGTTTATCATGAGTTACTAAGTAGTAAATAACCATCACAGTTATGCTATGCTTGGAATGAGAATCTTCTCGTTATTCTGTAAACAATGCATTCACAGTTGACATCGGCACACGTCCTATTGGTTTAGATTTATTCGCTTAAAATTAGCCTCTTGCTGTAGTTAAAGATATGTCGACCCCTTATCGTAACAAGCGTTTTTCCCAGTAAACGTAGGTGTTTTTTCTTTATTTTTGTGCACCTTTTGCTTTGAGCGAAAATATTTAAGTTAAGGTTGCCTTACTTACAGCCAACCAGTATCAAACAACGTGCACGTTGCTTGCATCACTAACATTCCATGGAAATTTTTCGAGCATTACAATTCTTTGGTTTCCAAACGACCATTATATTGACCTATCATCATACAATATTTAGAACACAACTTTTAAGGAGACGACATATTTCCATCGCACTTCATTTGTTTTCTTTGCTTTCAATGGTGAGAAATTCCATTGTCGAGACCAAAAAAGGTTAGGTGACACTGCGACGATCGTTGTTCTTCCTTTGACCGTGGTCTTTGTGTTGCAAATGTTCTGAAATCTGAGTAGCGAGTTAATCAATTGTTTTATATAGCTTCAGAGTCAGAAGCCAGCGAGGATTCTCCAAAAGTTATGCCATCGGCTGAAAATCGAAGAAAGCGAAATTTGGAAAGACGAGACATTGCTCAGGCCTTGAACTTTGACGACGGTCGATTGGGAAAACTATCATCGGTGAAGACAGCAGGGACACAAACGTAAGTATACATGTATGATATAAGAGTAGTTATTTACGTCAGACCACGGCAAACACGAAGTAAAACAAGGTTACGTTGCAAGAAGTTTTGGGTGCCATGTGGAAATGTTAAGCTTATAACTTGATAGATGGCATGGCTTGCAAAGTTGTAGCAGATCCTCGTTTCTGTGCATTTTTGTAATTCCTGGTGCCGAATTAACATTACTTCGCAAATTCCGAAGGGTTTGCTTTCCCAGCGAGATTTGCCTCTAGAAGTTACATATTTCATATTATTGTTAACTTGGTTATAAAGTACCTTGTTTGAGTAAATTGTAGATCAAAAAATGCTTTGAGGTAGAAAGTAGAAATGAAAAAAATGACTTACCATGTGCAATCTCAAAGCATTTTTGGCTCTGCACAGTAAAATTATGCACTTCTATTTTAATTTGATTTGGTAGGGTTCTAGCTGTCTCTAGGTTTTTGCATCACTCCTACAAATGGAATGTCTTTATTATAGTAGTATTTTGGGTGGGCGAAACCTTGTTCGTGTTCATAATATTGTTGTAGCCATCTTTGATTTTATGACAGTGGAAGATTGGAGAGAGTAGAAATAGTAAGCCTTACGGTAGGTGCGAGAACAAAAGATGGAAAGGGGGGAGGGGGAGGGGAGAAAAAAAATACGCCTGCCCGATATCAGTGTTCTTTTGGGAAACTCCGTACGCTGGCAAAAGGAGCTCCTGATTGGTGCGGCATAGGGAAGTAGATTGATGCCTGTCAATTAACTGTAAGGCTATATTGTTTATTCCGTTTGCCTGGTTTCCGTCAGTCTTTTGGGATTGGAGCAGCTGGGAATGTCGGGTGTATTACACAATGAGAAAGTCAAAGCGATTTCTACACTGGTCATCAGGACATGATTTGCTCGCAGTACCAAAACCTACACCACTTTTACCTCATGCCAAAATGCTGCTTGTTCCAATAGGTTTTTTTTTTCTGACGAGTAGATTATGCTCTAGAGGGTTCTATGTTTTGACTGAGCAAATGTGATTTTAGCCGCTTGTTTCACACTGAGAGGTCATGACACGCTTATTGATTTTCTGTGGTTTTGGTCTTCATGATTTGCCCTCTGCTGCAAGAGCATTTTCTTTGACCTCTTCTGAAGCGTAAAACTCTTTTTGTTGCTAAATAAGGCTGTTAGGTTCTTTATTTTTGTCCAAAGTGCCTCAGGATCTGAATAACTAAGCGGTTTTCTTTCTAGTCCGAGAATGTGATGTTTTCATGCAATGTTGTATCACGCTGTGCCCAGCTCGTTAGTTTTTTAAGTTGTTTGCAGGATGTTAAACTCTCACAGATAGCGAACTACAGAGATGAATTTAGAAGAATGAATTACAGCTTAAACTGAAGCCTCATCAGCTGTGGAGAATTGCCTTGTGACTTAGTCAAGATAAAAACAATGATAAACTCCAGCTTGTTTTTCTTAAGACAATGTGAAGTCTTTGGACTGGAGCAACTGTTTGTTTGTCTTGTTATTGTCGGCTACTCATTTCCGGAAGAGCGGTCACGCGCATCTAATCAGGGGGTGTTTCTCATTTTCACAGTGTTTTTGGGCAGGCGTTTTCTCTTCTCTCTCCCCACCCCCTCCCCACTCCCTTTGACTGGCCCCATCTCCTCCTCTCTTAAGCAGAAGTTTCAACATGGCGCAAGCAAATTGCCCGCTCAAAGAAAATGCCTGCACTGCAGGCTAGAATGTCTTCATTACAATGTACATGGAAGAAAAGTGACACTGTGTAGCTAAAATATGCTTTTCATAGGTTGATCCAGATTTGTGGGCCCATAATAATCTTCAAGTTGAAAACTTAACATAACCCTGCATATATGTAACTTATTTGGACTATTGTCCCTAAGTGACCTGTTGACTCATGTGACCCAATTAAAAAAATTGTATTTTAACTGAGAAACAGCATTAAAAATAATATTATAGATTATTAGCCAGGGCTAAAAGCGAAGCTCTCGATAATATTTGTAGTATGTTTAAACAAAATATAAAATCGTGTAATGCTAAGCAGCGAAGGCAATGCTGGAGAGTGGTGAAAAACAACAATAAGTCTAATTAGCAAAAAAAGCAAATTTGCACTTGCAGCATGCTTTCTCTGTACATTTCTTTGCCACTGATTTGCACGACTAGAACGTAAAACTTCCAGAAACTTCTTAGTTACACGTTTTATGGCGGAAATGTTGTACGTGTTCTTGTTCACTTTTTTTTCACTGCCGCTCATTTTCACCTTGCGTTGGTGGCCACCAGCATTTCCCACTTTGTGAAAGGTTTGAACTCAGGAGTCATTTCAAAAGTACCAGTAGGTTGAGTTTGATCTCTACAAGACAAGACTGATTATCTTAACAACGTTTTTAGTAAGAACAATTACAACATGGACTTTGTTAGATGGAACACTCACAGTAACACTGATTCCAACACTCAGACCAATGTCAACCCTGGCCCTGTTACGACAGCGACTATACCGTACATCAGAAGTACCTCGGAAAGTATTGAACGTATATTACAACCTTACAATATACGTGTTGAACACAAACTGATAACCACTTTATGACGACTGCTTACTAATGTCAAGGACAAAGACAAACCAGAGGACAGACAGGGAGCAGTATACACGATCAAATGCTGGGACTGCCAGGCTTCTTACATTGGTTAAAAGTGGCAGAAACCTTAGCACGCGACTAAACGAACACAAACGAGCGATGAGGAATGGTGACGTCAACAATCACATTGCTGAGCACCACTTACAGATGAAACATCAAATTGACTGGGACTCTGCGATATGTATAACGTACTCTACAGACTACTATCAACGTCTTACTTTAGAAAGCTGGTTTACTAACTTGGAACAAACACCACTGAATCATAGCCAATAGTTACCAGCGCTGTACAAACTTATAGACGAGATCAAGCAAAACTAACTACGAGAGAACGACTGGAGAACTGACAATTTGACTAACAATAGACGACTGTTTAACTGTGACAATAGACTGATCGAAATGCACCAATTACTGATTACGAGTCTTCAGCGCAAATAACATCACGGCTTAAATGACAGATGACCAATAACATAGCGACATGATTGACCAATCAGATCAATAACCAGAGTATAACACCATCAACTGACGTGATACAACTCACCTTGACTCTGAAGATGACTATGGCACAGGTTGTCGAAACGTCAGTCACTGTCAACAACAACGGTGCTATTCAGGACTATGTTCACCCAGACGATTAAACTCAACCTACATTTCCCATTTTGTCACCGCCGCTACGAAATTTTCATGTTGTTCTTCCAACAAAAAATGTCTTCTTTGTTTTTTATCTCTCACTCTAGACCTCTGTCGCCCTTTTCCTCGTTGAGCTTCACTGGCCTGCCGCCTACTTTCTCTTTTGCTCTGTCTTTCTCATGCTCTACATTCCAAATTTGTGGACATGACAATTAATGTAAACTAACTACTTTAGACAGGGCTTCTGATATTCGCAGAAAAAAAAGCAACATTTCGCGGGATTTTCAGGGGCAAATTCGCGGAAAAATCGGCTGATTTCGCAGGATTTTCGCGGGAAAAAAGTCAAAATTCGCTCAAAAATCGGCCAATTTCGCAGGATTTTCGCGGGAGAAAAGTCAAAATTCGCGGAAAAATCAGCAGATTTCGCGGGATTTTAGCGGAAAAAAGTAAATTTCGAAGGATTTTGGGGGGAAATTCTTAGAAAAATCAGCCGATTTCACGGGAAATTTTGGGGGAAACTTCGCCAAGAAACAATCAATAAAAAAAAGCCGATTTCGCTGGATTTTTTTGGCAAATTTCGCTAAAATCGATCAATTTTGCGTCGATATGACCAGCATTGTTTAACGTTTTTTTAACAGGGATAATCATTTGCTCTTTCAACAACACTTCGCTCGAGAAATGAGCGAATGCTGAAGCTGTTATTAGTGCCCAGTTTTTCGCAACGTTCATCTTAGAACGCCTGGTAGTTTTGAGACGTCGTTTACTCGTTGCAGTGACGAAGTTTCAAGATAAATGTGGACGTTTGGGGTGAATAGAGCGGGTCTCATAGCCAAGATAAGTATTAAATATGTTTTGCCGACATGCAGGTGGTGTGCGCACTACGATCGCTAAGTATCATGGGCGGTATTCAAAATCTGATCTTTGTGTCAAGATGGCGTGAAGTGAACATCTCGACTGCGGAGTGAATATTCGTTAATTACGCTGTAGATATATACGATTTTGCATTGAATCTCTTCCGGAAGCTCTTGAAAAAGAAAGTCTGTCCAATTCTCAGGGAAAAAACAGTCTCATTCCGTTGATAAGTGTATTCTGGTGTATTTTGTTCGTAATCACTTGCATCTTGTTTGCAACTGACCGAGAAAAGTCGGCACAGAAACGCTCGTTCAAAGCTTCAATCATGAAAAGCACTGGAGGTAAGACCCGCGGTTCGCCGAAAAGTTTGAATTCCCCATGAAATCAGTGCAACTAATGCTAAGAGGTACTGATATGCACAGCTGTGATATACATACATGTACTCATAAAATACTATGAGCTTCTTTAGAATACCCGGCCACGGTATTTAAACACAGCGAGCTTATTTTGTTTTGTCATTCAGCATTGCAAGATGTTCACTTGCTAGCTGTAACAAGAGAATCGAAGTTGAGGGGGTCATCTTTTCAAGGACTTGTTTCTCTGTTGGCACCAAGTCTGCATTTCATTTTGCTTAACATCTGTATTTATCATCACATGAAGACAAGTAAATAAAGTAGAGAGTATTTGTGTACAGTGAACTTGGGTCCTCTTTATAGATAATATTATATTGAGCATGTTTATTTGCCCATATATTTTCTATTGGTATGAGTCATAGAATGTCTTATAACTGGATTGAAACTGAAAATGGCATATTTGTGATTACAAAGCCTGATGCAGTCAATAGATTTTAAAAGCTTCAGCCACTATTTGTTTAATGATTGTGTCAGTATGTACAAACACATGTTATCACATATTTTTTGGATCATAAAAACTCTTCAAAATGTGGAATTCATACATATTTACAAATCTCCTGTAATCAGGGCTGGGGCAACATAGCTTGAGACCCCTTTCCTTTCTCCTCACCCCAATTTTATAATTTAAATATGGTGTCATAGGTCTCATCATACTCACAGTCAACTCTGTTATACAGACACTGAGGGGACCGTAGAAATTGTCCATCTTAATTTAGAGAAAATTTAAGGGCTTTTTTCCAGGGAATAAAGCAAGCTGTCTGTAATGATGAGCAAGGCTGTGCTCTGAGGAACATTGAAAGGAGCCCAGGTCTCTGAACCTGTAAAATCTAGGCTGCCCAGCATATGATTTTTATGAAAAGTCTGAGATTTTTTAGTCACCCAAAAGCAAAAGTTAGGTGCCGGGGGCCACAGGGCTCTGCTAGAGCACAGCCTTGATCAGGTGTCTGTATGAAGCGGTTGTCCGTAAAGAAGGCTTTTGGGTTACCAGTTATTGCAGAGGTGGATCCTAGTAGTACAGTAAAACCCTCTGACTTAGAACCTGAATTTTAAGGACCTGTTAGGCTAAAATATGCCAGATGAGCCCCCTCTATATAAAAACCTGTTTAGCCTAAATTTGAAACAGGTTCTTATTTTTGAAATCTATGAAAAAATTCTGTACACTTGAGCAGAGATAAATCAACATTTAGAATCTTCTTTGGAGACAAAGCTGTCTTATCACTCCAACTGCAATGTAAATGCCAATGTTTAAATTTAAATACATTCCTCTTTTTATGTCCATTCTCACATAACTTCTAATTTAGTATGCAGACTTTATATAAGGAATAAGGGCACAAATACACTTAGCTACATTTCTTCTTCAGAAAATATGAACCCATTTAAAAACATAAATAGCCTAAACTTGTGCTAACTACTATTTATATAAGAATCTCTTTAGGCTTACTTAGTTAATTCATGTTCTTAGTCTCACGATTTTACCGCCTCATTGTTCCACTTTTTCTATTTCCTTTCCCTGTCACCATTTTTTCAGCCTTGGTTTTCCAATATCAAAAGTACATTCAATGATCAAGCAATTTATATTTTGACTAAAGCCACCAAAATATGCAAATTGCTTGATATGTATTAAACAGTGTAAACAGGTAAACAGATTGAATGACATCACTTAGCCTGTGTGGCAGGCATTTCAAAGAAAAGGGAAAGTGGGTCTTGGTGCAAGAGAAATGTGAGGGAAGGAGGGAGGGAAATGCCTGCCATACAGGATACTAATTGTTTTTTGCATTATAAACATCAACCAGGTGAATGTTGAAATCACTCCCTCCTTCCTCGTGCACTCTTCGCATTTCTCCTGTGCCCAAAACCCCTTTCCCTTTCCTTTTAAATGCCTGCTACAGAGGCTAATCACCACTGAATAAAACAGGGACTAGGCAAGAAACTGACAAAGTCATAACATCCACACAACAACACACACCAATCTTGGAAGTAGATTATGATTTTCTTTTCTCAAGAGTGATGTGCATATTTCTCTGAATAAAAGTTAAGTGCAAGCTTGGTGGATGTTATGAAACTCTTCTTCTACACTGCACTATTCTTGCAATTCTCCCAAAAACCATTTTTCATAAAGGATGGCTGGTTTCAAAATGCACAGGGCCTAACTGTTTAATCAAACTTATCATATTTTAATTTAATACCTGTAATTCTTATCCTACTGATTTTATACCTGCATAAAGGGAATCACATGTATGACTGCAATTTTATTATGCTTTTTTTAGTCCTATTACAAAAACAGACATTCCTACATCTGAGTACTCATCAGCCTATTTATATACCAATTTCGAACATTTTATGCTCACCTAATGCTATTGTCTGGAGGAACCAGTCGCCGCTGCCCCGCTATTTTGTGATCAGCTTGTGATTACAACAGTAACACTTCCAGTAACATGTCACATTGGTCTTCGCGAGGCTACATTTTCTCATGAAAACATGCCGGTTTCAATTCGGAAAAAGTATCACAAAACGTGAGGAGCGATAAGAAATTAGCATAGAACAAGGTTTGTAGAAACACTTACAACTATCTCCTACTTTCCACGGGCAATATAATGGAAATTATAGCTTCTTAAAAACCGGGTTCAAATTTCATGCTCTTACAGGAAGAATCTTCGGGCTCCACGTTTTAGATTGAAATGAAGAATATTGATTTGTTTTTCTTCACAGAAAAAATCTAAACAAATATTACCTTATGAAATCGAGAAAAACAATCTAAGGAAAGAACTGTATCTATTGAAAAGTAAAGCATATAACCTGCGAAATTTCTCGACCTTCGCCGCCATCTTGAAAATTTTGATTCCACAATGCATCGCGATCTTAGTGCGCACACCACCTGGCCGACATGTATTTGGAAATATTTCTGGCGGATTTCGCGGTATTTCGTGTTTTTTTGGGAATTTCGCGGGATTTCGTGGAAATACCTGAATTTCGCGGGTCCGCGACCGCGCAAAATATCAGAAGCCCTGTTTAGACAACATGGACATAGGAACAATTTCCGCTTTCCGTTTTCATCTTTATTGACTCTTTAGTTGTCTCTGCTTTACAAGACGTCGGTGCCAATGTGATTTCCCTCCAAAATAACCTCAAGTTGTATTTGGGTTGCCATACCTGTTGATTGAGTTATTTTACATTGGAATGCCTGTGGTGCAGATGGATGGTTGCTCGGGCAGGCGGTCGGTCGGTGTACGGTCACGTGATTACCCAATTTTCTCGGATGGGTAGATTACTTCATTTTCTTACCTATGGTGCTCTGCTGGCACGCTTTGCTCGCAAGAGTACCACTGATAACCAAATAATAAATTTTTAATGCATTATTTCTGAATGGTTCTAAGTTAGCATGACAAAAGAATGTATCTATACAAAATTAATGCTTTTATTACTTAGTGATTACCACAAGCCTGTGAAAAGCTTGGTTTTAAAATACAGTAGAAGCCTGGTAACTCAAACTCTGAAGGGACACGAAAAATAGTTTGAGTTATCAGGATCGACTTAATCTTCAGTTTACCGTGTTAATATTGATACTTTACTTACATTTCAGCACTTCAGTATATTGTCAACACAGTGCACATTAATCTTATCTCATCAGAAATTGTAATACTTTTGTGCAAATTTATGATAATGTGGGGAAATGATAGTCAAATACGTGATT